TCGTCTTCTTCACCGAAGGCGCGCGCGAGCGTGCGGAGGATCGTCATGGCCATCTCGTGCGCGCCCTTGCAGAATGCCCGGAGCAATGGCTTCGCATCCTGGATGATCTCGGGATACGTCCTGCTCGGCGCGACGCCAAAGAGACAGTCCTTCCCAATGTTGAAGAACTCGGTGCTGTCTGGGCGCTGGGACTTGTCGGTCAGCTTGACCGTGCCAGCGGGTTTGTACCCGAAAAAGGAGCCTGTCTTGCGGAAGTCGTATTTATCTTTTTCTTCAAAGGGAAGAGCTAGCGCCTTCTTGCTCAAGTCATGCAGCTGATCCGCCTCGGTGAGGAGCTCGCGTCCTTGTTCGGAGTCGGTCATGTCAAGATAGAAAAACCCGTACGTCTGGCATGCTCGCAAAACCGCCGCTGCGGACGAAGGGTCTTTTTCTAGGAGGCATTTGGAGGAGATCTCAGCAATCGGCGCGTGAACAAGGTCGGGAGGGAAAGGTGGAATGCTCCCATGAATCCTAGTGGTGATCGTGCTCGTCGTGGTGGCGGACATGGTGATCGGCAACAGGCAGCAGAAGGCACTTTGACGACAGCAGCGCCTCTCTTCTCAGCGCCAGTGTCGACTCTTGCCAGGTCTCGTTGATGTTTCTTGGTCAAGGTCGAGATCCTTCAACATACCCAGGTACTCCGGCGGTCTCAGTCTTATTAGCAACTCGTCCATTCGGTGGATCAAATCGGCACTGGAACTGCCGGTGCTTCTCCACAAAACCCCTCCCCTGGTGTGATGGTTCCCCGGAAAATCCGCTCTTGGAGGTGTAAATAGTATGTACCCACAAGTAGTATTTTCGTATGACTGGATCACCGCTCTGACCAGTGTGCTATTATCACCTCGGCTGCCCGGCCAACTTAACAACACTCATCTTTGCCATGCACAAGGTGAAGACAACTGGTAAAGAGGAGGAGGCTGGAATGGCGCCGCAGTGGTCCATGCGAATCTGCTTGAGCCTGAGTTCGGCATGTGGGGTAAGTCTGACATGTACCTGGGATCTTGCTGGGATCTACTTTGCCAGGCGTAAGAGATTGCTCTGTGGCGGGCCTCCTGAACAAAGGAAGGGGTGAATTACACCTCCCTAGGTAAGAATATCCCCCCCGAAAACCATCCGAAAGACTTGGAAAGGGTTCAGATGTCGGGCCTGTTTGGAGAAGGGCGCCTGGTGAGCTTCACATAGGGCGGAACATCTTGCTTGAGGACCTGGGGCAGCACCGGCAAGACGCACATCCTTCCAGATGAATCACATTTCGGCAGGGATGAGTATTTTGATCCTTCTATCTTGGTTGCTCTGCATTACTCGGTGCAGGTTGGTGTGAGACGACAACTGGCGACTATCACCGCTCTATGAAACCCCCTTTATTTTCATTGGCCCTTCTGTTTCTGATTAAGCATTATTTTCGGCGGCCTTTTGGACCTCATGTTCACGGTCATTAACGCTGTCATTTTGTTCTCCAGCCGATCTCTTGGAGTCTTCCTTTGCCGTCGTTGCGCATGCTTGGTGGTGATTGAGGTGCTCATGCAATGGCAGTGGTGACATTGGCAATGATCACTTCTCCGGCACTGGTCACACACTCTGCATTTCCCATATCGCATTGGTAGTGCTCGGTAGCAGGATACGTCAGATTGAAGTCGGAGAACTTGGTGAGGACGTTGTACGGAGCTTGGCCAACACTGTGTCTATATCAGCACTGTGACTCGCTGATGAAATGGCGAAGACAACGTCGCTTGCACATACCTGTTGTCAATGTACTGGTGAGCCAACCGCAACGACAGATTTCCGACTCCATGCCATGAGGTAATCAGGACATCGAAGGTGCTGTTGTCGCAGGTGTTACTCGCAGAGGTGGGCGGACCCAGACCCACGGCCCAGTCAACACAGCAGTGAGTGGCACCAACTTCTGGAGTATCTTGGTCGCAGAAGTCGACTGCCATTCATTAGACGGGGACAACAGGCGGGTAGTGAGGTCTGCAGGACGTTGCAGAGCCTCAACTCACATTGAAGATAGGAGCCCTGAGTCGAGGTTGGATCAGCTTGGAAGGGTGACGACACAACGACATTTGTGAGCTCGAAGTTGCCAGAGAAGGCTGAAGCAGCGGACGAGAGAAGGGCAATGAAGGTGAGGAAAGTGAAGATTGAAACCATGACTGCGACGATGATGTGTAGCAAGAGGAGTTGTGAGAAAGGGTATGAGTTGCAAGGCAAGAGCAATCGTGTTGATCGTGTTGTTGCGCAGGATCTTAAGCAAGAGCACCGTGCTGAGTGTTGAGTTTGAGTTTGAGGTGAGTTGAGGCGAGTTGAGGTGAAGGAAGAGAAAAGCGAAGCAAGTGGGTGGCAGACCTGAGGTCTTTATATCTGCTCCTTCCTCACCAGAACTATGAAATCAAGCAGCAGTTTTTCTCGCCAGCCTTGTCCTTTTCCGTTGCCTTGTCCTGTGAATGCAGCAGAAGCTGTATTTGGACACAAACACCATCGGTTTACATGCATGCACGCAATAGCTCAGCTCTTGTTGATGGACAAGCATCCGAAGTGCCACTCATTTTCAAAGACGAGCATTGGTGTTGAACACCGCCCACCGCCCAACGTGAAGTTGCTGTACAAAAAGGGCCTCCTTCCAGAACGCTACCAAGCGGAGGTACAACTGAGACATTCCAGAAAATAGTCAGCCGGTTCTTCAATATGGATCTTGGGGCGGTACGTGCTCTACAAGGGGATCAGAGGAGTGCCCATTGCATTATGTTTACCTGTGATGCAACACCCCCAGCCCACCGCCTATCTGGTTCTCCTGGTGACATGGGGTTAGAGAGCGCCAGAAGAGTGCCAGCTGCTCGGAAATTTTCGTGAAGGTGCCAGAAATAGCCTCCCGAGTTACACGAAACCAGCAGAGCACCGTGGAACAAGGGCAAGGAGTACCAATACCAAGGCTCGGATTCCGGACCCGACTGCAGCAGAGTCGCTTGTCGGATCGGAAGCTTGCATCGTTGAACACGAGACTCCCGGATGAAGTGGATACCGTTTTGCTAGAGCCGGTGACGGTGTTTTGGTTTGATCAAAGATGGCTGTGGCTGGATTTTCACTTCCCTCCCAAAGGGCTATGGACATAACGGCGGGCTTCTTTGGACATCCATTCATGTTGCTGCCGTGAGGCAAAGACAGGCCACAACCCTTCGACTATACCACAGCCTCAAGCAGATTCCCAGGCTTGCGGAGAGGTTGTCGAGATTTGAGATTCCGGCAAGACGGCAGGGACAAGAATCGAACACAAAATCGCAAAGTCGCTCCTGGACCCTCAATGGGCCGATCAATCCGAAGCTTGAGAGAATAGGCGGATCTAGAAAGTTCAGTGCATGGTGCGCCGGTAATGGAGCACTCTTCATCTTCTGCCCGCTCGTCCCACGTCGCGATGATCACCACTTTCATCACAATGCATGGAGGACAGCCACAGAGAAAGCCACCCACGATCGAACGGTGAAGGAAACAGGGTTAAAATTTTCACGTTATGCCATTTGATTGCTCGCAAGTCCACTATCCGTAGACTTTCCATGGACCATTGTCGCATTGTTGCACCAGGTGTCAATACCAGCCATGCCGATTGTGCCTTTCTCACGCTCGCTGCAGAAATTTCTGCTGCTGTTGCGGATTTGATTCAAGCGTCATTCCATCACCACAAGCGCCACAAACGTCTCATCACAATGACAGCAGATCGCTTAACCCTTCTTCTTGCTGACACCAACGGTACGTCCTCTTCTACCAGTGGTCTTGGAGTGCTGGCCTCTGACTCGTAAGCCCCAGTAGTGACGCAGACCACGATGTGCTCGGATCTTCTTCAGACGTTCCAGATCCTCACGCAGCTTGCTTTCCATGCTGTTTGCCAATACCTGCGAGTCTTTGCCGTCAACAATGTCGCGTTGTCTGTTCAGGAACCACGATGGGATCTTGTATTGCGTTGGGTTTTGAATGATGGTGACGATTCGTTCGAGTTCTTCGGAGGTGATCTCACCAGCACTGTCATACGAAAATTAGTTCCTGCTTTTTGAAACTGCATATTTCCACATTGTATTCGTACCGCTTGCTCAAGTCGACGTCGGCCTTCTTGCAGACGAGGTTGGAGTAGCGACGACCGACACCCTTGATCCGGGTCAAGGCGTACATGATTTTCTGCTTGCCATCGACGTTGGTGTTGAGAAGACGGAGGATGAACTGGACTGTCCGGCATTGTTAGAATCCATCGTCTAGAGCAGAGATTGAAATAAACCTTACAGTTCGACTTCTCCCCACTGACGAGAGCTGCCTCGGAAGGTTAGCAAATATCATTTCCATTTTGTCGCAGAGGGGCGGATGTTTGCGCAAGGCGCACGTAGGTTATAGATATGGCGAGACCAGGACACTGCAGAGCCAATATGGACTTACACATGATGGGCGAGTCTCTCTTTGACGGTTTTCGTTGATGGTGACGGTTGCGACGACAGACAATCCTCTTGAGGCTGCCAAAAATTCAATCAAAACCGACAGTGCGCCGCGCCAAGAGACTACTTAATCAGCCACTTGTTGGGAATGGGTGGGGCCTTGGCTGGGCCGATGACGGTCACGTGATAGCTATCTTGCGCACCGGAATGTTGTCGTCACTGGATTGGATGAAACCGGTCTGGTGTTGGACCTGGTTGTCCAGCAACGGAAACAGGCTGCTTCATTACGAGTCGCAGTTCCCGTCCCCCATTAATATCCATCTTCAAGGTCCTCTTGTTGTCTCATATTCTTCGATCCTGTGTTGCCCATTACTCTATCTCATCTCTTCTGCAGTTCCTCTATTCTCGGCCTGGTGTGCGTTTGAAGCTGACTGGACTGCTTATCTTTTCCTGGGACCAACTCCCAGTTTGACAACGATATCGATCTTCGCTGCGGCCTTAGCTGGCTGAGTCGACGAACCCGATCGATTTTATCCCGTCTCGCGCTCCGCCATGAAATCCCTTCCCAGTCTCTTGCTGGCTGGAGTGGCCTCCGCTGCTATCGCTCCTCAGCAGCAGCCACTCCAGTTTCCCAAATCCTTCCCGACCGAAGCCAAAAACGTCCTTGGTAACGAACTCAACCATCTCAGGGATGCCCTTCGAGGTCTTACCGAGGAAGCCGCAGATATCTGGGACGAGGTCGCTGCCCTCTACCCTGAGGATATGAGCCGCGCTAGCTTCTTCTCCATGCCTAAGAAGCACACCCGCCGACCGGATCATGAGTGGGACCACATAGTTCGTGGAGCTGATGTCCAAAGTGTTTGGGTCGAAAATGCCGATGGCGAGCAAGAGCGTCATCTCGATGGCAAGCTTGATACGTACGACCTACGAGTCAAGAAGGTCGACCCCAGTGCATTGGGCGTCGATCCCAACGTCAAACAGTATTCGGGATATTTGGATGACAATGAAAACGACAAGCACCTGTTTTACTGGTTCTTCGAGTCAAGAAATGACCCGGAGAATGACCCTGTCGTCTTGTGGCTCAACGGCGGCCCGGGCTGCTCTTCCTTGACCGGTCTCTTCCTCGAACTTGGACCCTCGCGCATCAACGAGAAACTTCAATTGGTTCCGAACCCGTACTCCTGGAATGACAACGCCAGCGTCATCTTCTTGGACCAGCCTGTCAATGTTGGCTATTCCTACTCCAGCTCCTCTGTCTCAAACACCGTGGCTGCTGGTAAGGATGTGTATGCGCTGCTGACTCTCTTCTTCGAGCAATTCCCCGAGTATGCTAAGCAGGAATTCCACATTGCTGGGGAATCGTATGCCGGACACTACATTCCTGTCTTCGCATCAGAAATCCTGTCACACAAGAAAACCAATATCAAGCTAACCTCGGTCCTGATCGGCAACGGTCTGACAGATGGATACACCCAGTACGAATACTATCGACCAATGGCCTGCGGTGACGGCGGGTGGCCCGCTGTGCTTGACCCCCAGTCCTGCCAGGCGATGGACAATGCCCTTCCTCGCTGCCAATCGCTAATCCAGAACTGCTATGACAGCGAGAGTGTGTGGTCATGTGTCCCGGCTAGCATCTACTGCAACAACGCATTGCTTGCACCATATCAACGAACGGGGCAAAATGTTTACGATGTGCGCGGCAAGTGCAAGGATAGCAGCAACCTATGCTACCCCGAACTCGGCTGGATTAGTAAATGGCTCAATGACAAGTCGGTGATGAAGGCTCTTGGTGTGGAGGTTGATGGCTACGATTCCTGCAACTTCGACATCAACCGCAACTTCTTGTTTCAGGGCGACTGGATGCAACCTTTCCACCGACTGGTGCCAGGCATCATTGAGAAAATGCCAGTGCTGATCTATGCGGGGGATGCCGACTTCATTTGCAACTGGCTCGGTAACAAAGCCTGGGCTGAGGCGCTTGAGTATGCCGACCACGAGAAGTTTGCTGCGGCCGACATGAAGGATCTCCGCTTGGATGCAAGCAAGGACGGCCGCAAGATTGGAGAAGTCAAGTCGCATGGCAACTTTACCTTTATGAGAATTCATGCGGGTGGTCATATGGTTCCTCTGGATCAGCCAGAAGCCAGCCTGGAGTTTTTCAATCGATGGCTGGCGAAGGAATGGTTCTAGACGGGTCGTTGCACGGATTGATGATGACAGGGAAGCAATGATTCGTTTCTTGGAGGTCGCGGTCGTGGTATCTTGACGGAGGGGGTTATACAAACCAGGTCCCTGGCGGTTATGTACAGTTTGTGGTGGGCATGGATCCAATGAGTTTAGAGAACGGGTCTTTCTGCATTACATGTACGGAGTCCTCGTCGGACAGAATTTGGATATGCAGATATTGGTTGCAGGCGAATGTCACCGGCCATGATCTATCCACCATCTATCCATCACCACCTGAGGAGTTTTCTCTCTCGTAATCTCGTCATCTAGGCGCCTTGGGACGTCAATAGTTTCATGCACGGCATGCATGCGACGGGTTGACCCGAAGAAGGAGCCATGATAAATCCCTCTTTGTTAATCATTATTGTTTGAGGGCGCTGGGTTGACTACTGCATGAGGCTGCTCTGCCTGTCACCATGCGTAGCGCTTAGATTGTGGATTTGTTGTGGGTCTCTTGATTCTATTCTTAGGCGGTTGCCAGGGTTGAAAACGAGGTTGATTGGTCGCAGATGCTGCCAGTCACACCGGCTGTGCGGGGTGCTGATTGGCCACCCTTTCACCTCCTCCACTTCCTTCACCTGCTTAACCGCCCACCTCCCATCCACTTCCCGTGCACTTCCCACTCGTCTCAATCCTACCAGTCCTATTCAACAACATCTCATCTTCGAAGCGCCCGGCCTGTACCCCTCTCTTGCCCTCTCTGGCTCTCTCTGGTCCTCTCCCAACCATCGCTCTCCATCTCTCTCCATCTCTTCCTTCCCACTGGCTTCCTGCTTGGGATCCCCTCCTGGTCCTTTGGCATCCATCTCTCCCAATGTGGCCAACCCGAGGAATGCCCTCCTCACCCTACCGTCCCAATTCACACTATTGCCTGCAGCCTCAGGATAGGCCTCTCTCCACTTGGCCATGACCTGTGGTGCCGTTGACTATGATGCTGCCGGTCTAAATATTGCCATCCCCTTCCCGTCGTTGCAACTTGCTTTCCCTTTCTTTCTCTTCAAGCAAGCAAGTCTTGTCAACTCTGGTCGTGCGGTTTGAGAGCTATTCTTGAATTCTGTTCTTTTTTTGTTAAGCCAAACTCCTAATTCATCCTTCTGCAAAGACATAGTGTCTGGTACACTATTGACTTGATCGACACCGTCCAAAAGTCTACATACTACCAAGTCAATTGTTAATCTACAATATCAACGCAACTCATCCTTGGGAAACCTCGTGGCATTTACGAGCTGTGCTCATTCTTGCTGCATTTTCAAAGGCATAACACCAATCTTTGCAGAAGCTTCCAGGTTCCTTTCACGGATAAAGGGAGAAAAAAAAAAGACCACTTTCATCAATCGCTTTGAAAGGAAATCATCATCGTTGCCGGTCAACGATCATTCTTTCCGACCAAAATACCTAATAGCTTCCAACTTCATACCGCCGGCCTGACTTGCTGTGCCACTCCAACAGCTTAATCTTTGTCAAGCATCCATTATCGTTGTTGTCGATACTGTCGCTTTTCCCATTGTGTCCATACTTTCGGCCAATTCAGACCCAGCAGCAATTCGAAGACTCGTCTCCTACCTCTCTTCAAGGCTAGTCAAAGCCTTTTGACAACAATTTTAACTAGTGCCCGTCCTCACCACGGCTGGAGACTTCTCGGTGCCTTCTTTGCTTCAGTCTCAAGCGTCACTACAACCTCGATCAACGCTCTACATTGTGTCGTCACGATTGCCGGTCAATCTAGTTGACACCGATCCACAACGCACCTTTCTGAAACCTTCCTAGATATCAAGCAAACGTCAACCTTGACCCATCTGTCGAGGAAGCTCTGCCCGGTTTAGACAAACACTTCTAGACGGCAATCACCATCACACACGTGGACGTTGATCCAGGCACTTCAGTGTACTTGATCTGCCAATAATCGGCCATATTTCTGTTCAGCATTTTCACCATCCAACAGAGCATCATTAGCATTTTTAATTCGGACGACTCTTCTTGGGCCAACCCACCACAGCTCTACAGCAAACTAACGACACATCTAACGCATTGTCACGAACCAAAAGTCTCGACGACATCGTTTTTCTTGAGTAAATGTATCATTCCCCTTTCTCATGGGTTATAACCATTTCCATCTCATCAAGCTGACTCGGTAGCCAGACACCGACTAATTCATCCAGAATCCAACCTAACTACCAAAGAAAAAAAAAACAAAAAGGCACCAAAATGTCGTCACCAGCAGTCCAACTCTCTTTTACTCTCCGTACCTCTCCCAATGTCCGCACTGTGCACTTACTTGGCTCATGGGACAACTACAAATCCCAGCTCCCCTTGTCTCTAGTCAAGGATCCAGCAGCCAAGCCCGGTTCCTGGAAAGGCACGTTCCGTTTCCAAGGGTCGAATGCTCTCAAATTGGGCTCCCGCTACTGGTACTACTACATTGTCGATGGCTATCATGTTTCTCACGACCCGGCCAAAGAATTCGTGACGGAGAAGACTACAGGCCGCAAGCTCAACATCATCGACGTTCCTGGCGGCGACAAATCTAACCCGAAACCATCCCGGCCTAGTGTCAACACCGAAGTCCCTTCATCGCGCCACAGCAGGGAGATCCCACAAGGTCGTGCGCTCAGCCCCGGAAAGATCCAACATCCAAAACCCAGCAAGCCGTACGCGTCTCGGCAGTTGCGCGAGGCTGACTACGAGGTTTCTCCCGTGGACGACCTTGAGGAACGTTTCGCGGGCTATCGCATAGCCGACTCCTCTGCCTCGCCGTCCGAATTGTCAGATGACAGCTCCTCTTCTGGAACTGCGTTCTCACGATCCTCGCCCTCCTCCATGTCGAGCGTGAGCGACCACAGCTGCCGCTGCGAGCGGTATGGGGTCACTCGGACTGGCCAACGGGTAAAACTCGACTGCGGCGGGAAGCGCTGTGGCGCATGGAGCTCGAGTTCCTCCGAGTGCGATTCGAACGACAGCTCCGAAGAATCAAGTGAGGATGAGAGGGAGCGTCGTGCACGGATGCACAGGGAGGCGGAGAAGAGAGCACCGGCGACGACAACGACGACCAAGGGGAAGAGCAGTGGCGGCGGCGACGACAGGAGGAAGACTGTTGTTGTAGAGAAGAGACGGAAGTAGATGAGAGCTTGGAGCTTTCAAGGTGACGGTTCAGTGAGAGAGTTGGTGAGTGTATATGTTTGTGGGAGAGGAGCCCTTCCTTCTTCCGTGCCAATACAAAATCAAAGGACAAGGACACCACGTCGGCCTAGAGTCCACCGAATCAGACCAAGGCGAATCTACTACTAACCAGCAGCGAATTGCAACAAAATGTCCGATGCGAGAGTCAATCCAATCAGCCTTAGGCTGTGAGATGGCTCGGACCTACGTCAAAGTCGCGGGAAGGGTTGGCATCGATGGCTGCAAAGAAGGGGAATGCACGGCCAAGGATAGCGAAGATGAGGGCAAATGGATGGCAAGAGGGAAGAGAGCAGAGGGAGGCAGTGGCAACCTTGTGGCCTAAGGGGTAAAGCAAGAGAGCAGAAGAGTGCGACCTCGGGGACCAGAAAAGCAGTGGAAACATGAGAATGGGGCAAACTTGGCAATGATGTCCATGGAACGGTTGACGAGCTCGGCATTCCTAGAAGAAACCCCTCCTTTCTCCCCCCTGTACATCGACTAGGAACATAGTTCGGGGTGAGAGAGGGGGCTCGACAGTTGATCCGACGAACCGACGTTCTATGCTTGCATCATCCCATGAAAGATAAACGTACTCCTGCTGTATATTTCCCTCTTTTCCTGTTTGTGTTGTGATGGCTCCTTGCTCAAATTTCATTGTATCTCGATGGTTCATGCAGGAAGTGGGAAGCTAACAGTAGGTAAGGTTCTCGGGCGGGGGGTTGCTTCTACGAACGTGATTTGACCAACGTCACTTGTCTTATACAGACGTCGTGTGGCAGTCTGGGAGTTTTGCACCGCATCCGCAAACTTACACTTTGGAGCCACACACCACGCATTCCCCGAGTCGTCTCATACGGTACGAGGTACTCCACCTGGGGAATACGGGCCGGCCTAAAGGTACAACGTCACCCATGGGGGCTCTTGCCAGAAGAAGGGAAGGGCAAAACGATTAAAGCCAGGCCCTAGACTCAGAGGCAACGCTTGCAATGATGGAATTGAACTGGAAATTGTCTCCGGCAAGTCTTAGAGATGAAGATGATCACTTTCGCATTCCTTGCCTGACGCCCAAGCTGACGAGAGGGAGCCCGACGCTGGTCGTTTCGTGTTCTGTCCCCCTGACGGGTTGGTGTCAGCCTCGGGGACCAGGCTGTAGAGCCCGAACTCAGCCTTGTGTCCCCGGGGAGGTCAGGTTAGGGGTGTAATGGTCACGCACCCTTGTCGGGGCCCCTCGTCTGTAATGACTGCTGGGAACAATGATTCGGTGTTTACGAGCCTTCCTCACGATCCAGGTATATATGTTCTAGGATCTCCAACGGGTCGACCCTGGGGCCAACGATACGCTTCTCGATTGCTACAGACGTCCACCCGCACTCCGCCCGCACTCAATCCAACTACAGAGACTCTTGGGAAAGCAAGGTCGCAATGGAGCCGAAGATTCACACACTATTCGAACCTGTGACAGGCACGTGGCAGTATGTTGTCGCAGATGAAAAGACAAAGGATGCCGTAATCATCGATTCTGTTCTTGACTATGACAAGGAGACGGGCAAGGTGTCCACAAACTCGGCCGACCAGATTCTCGGCTTGGTGGCAGATCAGGGCTACACTATTTCCAAAATACTCGAGACTCATGCCCATGCTGACCATCTCACCGCCTCTCGCTACCTTCAGAACGTCCTTGCCGGGCGACAACAAAACACGCCCCGTCCCGAAGTGTGCATTGGTCAACGCATTCGGCAGGTTCAGGAAACCATGTCCAAGATATACGGCGTGCCGCAATCGGACCTAGTCGACGCATTCGATCATACTTTCTCTGATAACGAGACCTTTGCCATTGGATCCATCGAGGCACGTGCTATCCACCTTCCAGGTCATACGCCTGACCACCTGGGCTACATCATCGGTTCCAACGTCTTCACTGGGGATTCAATCTTCAACCCGGACGTCGGCTCGGCACGCTGCGACTTTCCTGGAGGGTCCGCTGCCGACCTTTATACTTCGATGCAAAAGCTCTTGTGTCTTCCAGGGCACTTCAAGCTGTACACTGGGCATGACTATCCACCCGACAGTCGCGATGTGCCCGTTGGGCAGCATGTGGATGGGAGCAAGGCCGTGCCGTTCACGACGGTTGAAACTCAGGCTAGGGAGAACAAGCATGCCAAGCTGGGGACACAGATGGAAGATTTTGTGACGTGGAGGTCAGAAAGAGACAGCGGCCTGGCTGAGCCCAAACTGCTCGCCCAGGCTATGCAGGTTAATATTCGGGGTGGGAGACTACCCACGCACGGCTCAGAGGGGTTCAAGCTGACCGAAGTACCGGAGCGAGTAGCCAAGGTGGTTCAAGCTGCATTGTAGCTGATGTTGCCGAGGAAGCGGAGAGGCGAGGAGGACACCTCCAGGATACATATCGGGACTTGGCCTTGTGATACATATCGTTCCATGTACGGTTTGCTGCCGAATTGGGCTAATGCAACTCGCTGTTTTGAGACTGAAACCGCGTGTCCTGTTCATCAATTAATTAATCGACCAGACCCCTTTCTTCCTTTTCATCTTTCCCTTCAGTCTGTCCGCGATGCTTTGGCGAAGCCACCACCCGCACAATGCTCTACGCCTTCACCTTGCCTAACCTCAGCAGGTGCCCAACTACCGAGGGGTTGACAAGGGCGGGAGCCCGTCTCAAGCGAGCAGCCCCGAATCTTCCGCGGGAGACTTTGCCAGAGTGAGAATACACGTCCGTCAAGCCACTTTCTTCTCATCTCTCGGACCGCCGGAGACGAATCATGGCCAATATCCACGCGAAGTAGCTCGATGACGCGACAGTTACCGGGAGGCCAGGACTCGGGTAGCGAAGGATCACCTAGCGCATGTGCATAAGAGACTCTCGAGAGCCGGAAACGGTTAGTTACTGATGGAGACAAGGTGGAAAGATCCAGTCAATGTCCAGCACATGTTTCCATCCTGCTGCCACCTCACCACCCACCGCGGGTCTTCCTGCATATATATCCCCGCATCTTGAAGATCAACATGCTATGCACCAGTCCTAGTGTCTGTGTTGTCAAAGTGCCTGAATGGAAATGCACTCAAAAAGTGTTTCTGCAACTGGACCATTCAGTTGGCCGTTCACATGCAGGTGTTGAGGAAACCATCCTATCACTTGCCTCCCCTCTCTATCATTATCGACACGAGATCCCACTGACCTGCATCCCTAGGGCACACGACGGAGCTTTATCACGAAGATTCGGTGGTACCGCAGGATTCCCTCGCATTCAACGTTCTCGCCTCTGTCGCCTCCCTTCTTGCACCGCACGCGGTCTTCTCCTTGCGTGGATCGCGGTCCCTTTTTTTGTGGCTCTAGCTTTTGGTCCAATCCTATGACCTTGAGCCAGCACAGCTAGACTACTGTCGAGACCAAGGATCCGCCTGCACCGATCCTCACGCCGGCAATTCCAGCGGCAGGGGCTCATGCAACTGGATTTCCTTGATGTGGTCCGCCTTCTATCATGCTGATACATGGGTACCAGTCTTGCGGTTGGGGTGCGAGAATGACCAAAGAATGCATCTACCCATCCCAATGATAACAGGGCTTAACTGTGGCCGAGGATGTCTGTTCAATCTGTGTCGAGGACATGGGAGTCTGCCGTCCCCGTGTCTGCGTTGCTGAAAAGCAGCGGTACTCCTCCACCTGTTGATCCGTGTTCAGCTTCTTCCTCGTTTTCAAATTTTTATTTTGCTGCAGCTTTACCATGGCTGCTACGGAATCAGCCCTTCCGGAACTCAACAGCTTCCTCCCGATTGACACTAGGATCGCGGGGAATCCATTCTCCGACCTACCCCAGCATGACGAGGCACTCGATCTCAAATTAAGTTCCCAAGATTTGAAGGTCCAAGCTCAAGTGGCGGTGACGGATATTTCCTCAGGACAAAGCAGCGGGGAGGAAAATGATCTTAGCCCGCTGGATCCAGAGCCGCTTCCCGTCGTTGAGTCGCCATTAGTATCGGAAACGGTCGATCCTGATCCTTTAGCGAAACCCCCGCTGACCCGGCGAGATTCAGCCTGCTATCTAGACGAGAAGGCTGGATCCGCGCCTGTCACCGACGACATCGGACATGGAAAGTTCGAGGACCAGTCTGATACTGCTCCCGCCACCGGGGCCATTCCTGAAAGTCCGACACCAAATGTGTCGGCGCTCATAGTAGACCTCGGTGATGTCTTGTGTAACTGGACCGCACCAGAAGCTCTGCCAGTATCGCCGGCAATGCTGCATCGACTCCTCAAGACTCGCTTCTGGCATGAATACGATTCAGGTGTGATCACTCAAGAAGAATGCTACAGCCGTCTTGCTACACAGTATGGCCTTTTGTTAGCTGATGTGGCCGAAGCATTTAAGCAGGCCGCGCTATCTCTCAGTCCTGATGAAGAGGTCTTTGGTATGATCCGAGGATTGAAAGAGACTTATCGGGGCTCTTTGAAAATCTATCTCATGTCAAACATTCCCTTGCCTGAATGGAACGCCTTGGAAGGGGATGCACGGTACGACTGGAGCTTGTTCGATGGCTTCTTTATCTCTGCTCAAGTGGGCATGTGTAAGCCTGAGCTTGGATTCTTCCGGCATGTTCTCAACAAGATCAATATGAAGCCGAAGGATGTGATATTTGTGGACGATAACGCGGAAAACATCCTCGCGGCCAGGTCGCTTGGCATCAGGTGCCTCAGATACAAGGATGCTTCCGGGTTGAGGCAATTCATCCACCACATCTTCGATGATGGCGTCGACCGGGGACGAGAGTGGCTGTACAAGAACGCTAAGACCATGTGGTGCGTCACCCCAGAAGGACGAGAAGTCAGAGACAATTTTGCCCAGCTCTTCTTGTATGAAGCTGCTGGTGATTTGTGAGTCTTGATGCGCCCGGCCCGGAAGGCTGTTAAAGGACATGCTGACAATGTGAACGTCAAGAGATCTTGTCTCGATGACATTTTATGAGCGTACATGGAATTACTACATCGGTGAGAAATTCTCGAGACCTGGGACCCTTGATTAGCCTGGAGTGGACTGACCAAAGCGAAAGAGAAACCCATCGATACGGTGGAAAAGCACCCCGATGACATCGATACCACTTCGCTGGCGATGATCCTGCTGCCCCACGACCTCGAGAAAGCACATTCAATTCTCGACCAAGTCCTCCTGTACACTAACAGAGATGGCATTATTCTCGTGAGTATTCTCCCTAAGCCAACCTTCCGAGGAGGAGATACCGACGCTTCACAGACATATTTTGACAACAAGCGGCCTCGTATCGATCCCGCCGTCTGCGTCAATGCTCTTCGCTTCTTTCACAAATATGGTCGGGACGACTTGCCCGCGCTACAGCCCACAAAAGCCTGGGTTTCGGATGTCCTCTTCTACCGAGCGTACCTCGATGGAACGTACTACTACCCCAGCGGAGACGTCTTCTTGTACCTTTTCAGTCGCCTCCTGGTTGCAAATCCCGAGAGCGACATATACCGCAGCACTTGTGCCCTCCTGCGCGAGCGACTGCAAGAACGAGTCGGGTCACCAGGGGATTCGGTGGAGCTGGCCATGCGAGTGATTGCTTGTCTTGATATGGGTCTCAAGAATGAAGTTGACCTGCGGAAGCTGGAGGCGTTGCAGGAGGCAGATGGCGGGTGGCCGGTCGGCTGGCTCTGTCAAACAGGTAAAATCAGTTTGAAGATCGGCAGTCGAGGCGTGGCGACGGCGTTGGCGGTCAAGGCCATCGAGACGGCGCGGAGGAGTGGGAAATGAGGACGATGGACTTTCTTCCTTGGAACTTTGGCCTCGGCCCGTTCGGGCACATTTTGACGAGAGCCTATTGGCCCGATTTCGTTGATTCTGTAGCCTTGTCATTCTCACTGTAGTACGGCGTACGGGACGCACAAATCAACACAAATCCAGACTGGCGAGGCTGGCAGCGGTTTGGTGGCTGTGTAACAATCTTGCAGGAACGTGTGGGCAAGGAAATGCTTCCCCCGATGCTAACCGAGAGATTATCAACCGACGGTCTGTGATTGGTTGCCTTGTATACCCCATTAGGATTGCGGGGTAATGGCCACCACCCAATACGTACTGTACCAGGGACTACGTCATGGGACAAGGCTGATGACCAATGGCATTCTTCATTCCTTGCTTGCTTGATGGCTCCGTCTCCGTTGTTCTGCCCTCTTTGTCACCCAACAACCGTCTCAGCACCGCAGCCTTGGGAACCGCCCTTCCTCCTTGTTTCCTACATATCAAGCACCTCACTCCTCCTACCCTTGCCATCCTCTCCAAGCCGGCTTCACAGTTGCTACATCTGCATACCTGCGTCATGGCTGCTGCCGTCTGCCCGGTGGTTGGCACCACCAACACCGTCCTTCCTCCCAAGCACCCCGATTTCGACATGGACAAGCCTGGTCAGGTCTGCCCTGTCACAAAGGCTACCACGGACCACCACCACAACCTCCACAAGCACCCGGGGATCTTCGACTCGACCGCCCAAGACCTCGCCAACGCCGATAACTGCCCCGCCCTCACCAAGATTGTCAGCCGCCCCGAGCAGCAGGCCATGGACGAGGGCATCTGCCCTGTGGTTGGCACCGTCTCGACCGTCTTGCCTCCGAACCACCCCTCGACGAAGGATGCGAAGGAGGGCGATGTCTGTCCCGTCACCAACGCCAAGTTTGAGCATCATAGGGACAAGGTGCACGAGCACCCCAACCTCGAGACAGCTGCCAAGGGTGCGGTTTGTCCGGTGGTGGGAAAGAAGGCATGAAACCAGTCAGAAGGATACTGCGAATATTTGAGGGATAGTTTCTGGCAATGACATGCTGGTCCTATGTATCTCCATCACCCATGTCGCCGTCTGGGTACGCTGCAGTGGCTTGTTCTCATCCTCGTTTTGGGGTGTGGTGGCCATCTATCTCTGCTCAAACGAGCATTTTAGTATCAGCATTGGTCGTACCGCAGTCACCGGATACCTCGTAGTTGTCGAATTAAGAACAGAGCAATTTCCTTTGCTTCTACAATGGTTCCTCGAGCTCTGCAAGTGTTGGAATCCACCATTCATCAGCTGCTGCGTGCTTCGGCAAAACTATATTCCGACAAGCACAGTTTGCAAATGTAGCCACTACTTTGTGCACCAATACCCTGGTTTCAGAGATGTAGCAACTTGATCACGGCGGAAGCAGGTCTAGATCTCGACGGGTCCAACAATTCGGGCCACTTGGTATGACCTTACGCTTACCCGCAGCTCCCACAGCTTCGTAACGAGCTCACTGGAATGCATGCCGAATCTCTTTAACCCAAGGCATTCATGTTGCCATTGAAATCGCGGTCCCGGGTCTGTGCTTCAACGGCGTCTAACCCATCCACAATCCGCGCCATGGCGTTGCGCACTCGTCTTGGTCTGGACGGCTGACCGCGTTGACGTAGAGGAAGCGACCAGGCCCGCCGTAACGGCACTCAGTCCAGTGATAATCACACCGAGAAGGAGCTGAAGGTCCATCAAAGCCCTTGACGTAGCTGACAGGAAGTAATATTGCCAACTGTAATGGCGGTGGACTGACATGCTGCGTTTGTGTCAAGAGTTCGAAGTTGTGCTGCTGTGTCGACCCTTTTCCGCAGTGAAGCGATCGATGTGCCCGATCGCGTGGCTCTGGAGACCTGATCCGGGTTGCCGCGCTTGGGGTCCTGGCGCTGCTTGGGCATGTTGGAGCCAGCAGATCTCGCGGATTCAATCGTCTCCCCTGGGATGTTGAGCGACTGGTGGCAGGGTAGTTTTGTGCTTTTGGGTCCCTAACTCAGACTGGTCCTCATTGACACTCCCTCGCTGTTGTGGGTCCACTTCTCTCGTGTTCCCGTCATCTGGCTAGAGCTTGTTTGTAAATTTGAGCATTGCCCTTGTGAGAAAATCCCTAGTAATGGAGGCCGAAGGATTTCCATTAGGAACAGGTATCGGCTGACCTTGCGAGTTCGCCGATTATACCGCCAAGAGCTTCAGGATTACACACGGTCGGTGTTAATCATCTTGTCATTTGTGGGCAGAGACTTTGGCCCAGCGGTTTCCCATGCGGTGATTTTCTGCCTCCAGCAGAATTCGTCACTTGTGAACAAGGACATTGTGATGTCTGAGGACCACCTACGAGGCGTTCAGAAAGAATTCCTTCAAGATTATTATCTGAACGTCCCTGTCAAAAAGCTCTGGCGGGAGACGTGTATTGATCGGTACAAAAGAAGGTGGGAAAATAACATTCGAGCAAAATCTCTCTTGAAGCGGGCAGTACCTGGAGGAACACCGCATACTTGGTTTCTGTCCAATCCTGGTATTGGTGCTGGAAAGGAAGGGATCTTCTTGCTATCTGCGGGGTCGAGAGGCAGTGCCTCCATATCCCCCTTGTGTGACAACGCGGAGATCAGAGTCGGCTCGGTCATTGGAATGGGACGTTGGGGTATCGCTTTCTTGATAAGGCCTTCGGTAAGTTGTATGCAGGTTGTTCCATCTTATTGATATCGGCTGTTGCGAAGAGGGAGAGAAAGAGACATAGAGAGAGAGAGAGATCTTGTCTCTTGTGTGCAATATAAAACCCAGGCTCCATGGTCCCCCTGGTCCAGCCTGTCTTGACTCTTGCCCTTGAAGACGGCCAATGCCCAGTCCATAACAATCTAGCGTGCGAGAAAACCTCAGCTTGAACCTTTCGACGTTATCGTCCAACACGTGTCATCTGCACCAAGGTAGGATCATGGGACAATGGATGCGACCAAGGGGACGCCTGTCTCGCCTAGTCCCGGCTTCACAGATGGCACTTCTTGTCGCCGTCGTCTCTGTCTCGGTGGTCGACTCGGTGCTCTTGGGATACGACAGCTCGATCATGGGCAGTCTCAACGTGATGCCAACATACCAGAACTACTTCACTCTGACAACGGCCACCAAGTCGTTGAATACCGCCATTTCCTACGTTGGAGGATCATGCTCCGCCCTTATTGCTGGCTTTGTCGTGGCCTGGATCGGGAGATGGAAAAGCATCATGCTTTCTTGCGTTCTCACTCTGATTGGCGCCGTCATTCAAGCCGCGGCTCAGAACATTGGCATGTTTATTGCTGGGAGGTTCATTGTTGGTAAGTCGTGATCGAGCCAAGAACATTGTGAGCAGTGCTAACCTGCGTCGAGGCTTCGGACTGGGCTTTGCTCAAACAGCGTGTCCTACGTACGTGGCGGAGACTGCGCCTCCAAAGCACCGCGCCGTGGCATTGGGTCTGTACTATGCTTGCTGGGGGGTCGGCACCCTTGTTGCCTCAGGCGTTTGTTACTCGGTAAGCTATTTGAATGTTGCTCCCTGGTGAGTGCTCAACCATGGTTTATTGTGCAGACGCAACACTATTCATCGACATGGGCTTGGAGAACACCCAGCTTGGTTCAGATAATCCCTAGCATCCTTTGCATGCTTGTCCTACTCTTTCTCCCAGAATCGCCTCGATTTCTCATTGACCGTGATCGGCATGATGAGGCCCTGGAGGTCCTGGCGGCACTCAACGCCAACGGTGACAAGGATTCTCCGGTCGTGCTGGTGCAGTACCGAGAGATAACTGACACAATTGCTTGGGAGAAGAGCCAGCAACTGTCCTGGCGTCAAGCTTTCAGCACCAAAGCAAACCGGAAACGTATCATCATCACCGCTACATTTTCCATTATCGTTATGCTGCCTGGAACCAATATTATCACCTTCTACTTCGGCGATATGCTGGTATGTCCATTTTGAGAGTCACAATAAAATGGCAGATGCTGACCCTTGCACCGTAGACACAGGCTGGAATCAGTGATCCGACCACACAGCTCGAAATCAACATCATCTTGACTTCGTGGACCTTGGTCATCTCACTGGCAGGTGCCTGGTTCGCCGATTCTTTAGGCAGAAAAACACTCTGCGTAATCAGCCTTGCAGGCCAGGTTGTGACTTTTTACATTCTCGCCGGGCTCACCGCGATATATGGAGAATCGACAAACAAGTCAGGAATCTACGGCACCATAGCGATGATATTCCTCTACAACGCAGCGTATGCATACGGAATTACTCCGCTCACAGTGCTCTACCCGCCTGAAGTACTCTCATACTCTCTAAGATCAGTGGGCATGGGATTGTATACTCTGACCACAAAGCTTTCGGGCCTGCTGGTGACGATGGCCTTTCCATTTGCCCTGGACGCTATTGGATGGAAGACCTACATTATCAACGCAAGTGCGGATATTGTGATGTTGGTCGGTGTTATCTGGTATTGGGTCGAGACCAGAGGCCTCACGCTCGAAGAGGTGGACAAGGTGTTCGACGGGGTCAAGCATTCCGACGTCCCTGATCTAAAGGCAGTTACGGAAGGAGAGGTCGAGGTCGGATCGGAGTTGTTGAAGACGGTAAGGAGCAATGTGGAAAACCAGGAAGTTGTGGTAACGACGGCAAAATAAGTCGGTGGGAAGACACGGACTAGGCTTAGTATGAGGCGCTTGTGGTGTGTTTGGGCGCTTGGACGCCGATCAATGACTACAACAGAGAGTTGTGAACCGAAGACCCGAATCTGTATCTGGGCATTGACGAGAGACAGGCGGAGAAGAGCGTAAGAACCACGTCCCTCTTCCTCCGAAAGGTCCCTTATCAAGGTGCATCGCCTATCCTATAGCTTACCAGTTGGAGAAGAGTATAGCATCACCCTATTCGTCTCATGTCTTTGTGCGGGGGGATCAGGATGCGATATCAATCCTATTTCTTCAGTGAACGATACAATTGACCGGAGATCAAAAGGATATTTATCTGTCTCCCCATCGTAAGGTATACCAGGGCACCATCTTTTTCGACACGTCTGGAGCAAACCATGGCAGAGTCAACACCTATCCCCGTCGTCTCGTTCGAGAAATTCCTGACGGGGGACCGTGCGGACCAGAAGGAAGTCGCCCGACAGGTCTACAATGCGTTTTCTGCGGTTGGGTTTATATATTTGAAGGACCACGGGATCCCCCAGACGAAGGTTGATGAGATCTTTGCTTTGGTAGGTATCGCTCACCGCTCTCACCGCTGTATTTATGGATCCCTGGGGGACCACTATGCACTAGCCCGCGTCCTGTGTGACCAGTGACCCCTTTTTGGCGACAGCCTTATCAAGTCTGCTTTCTTTGCGCCATTCCGTCCGTACGGGTCCCTCCACTCTAGTTCAAATTGAGCGTCAGATTGTAGTTGATATTGGCTCTCAGTCACTGGCTCTGATTCTGACTGTGATTCTACTCCAGGCCGAGAAATTCTTCTCCCTTCCTTTAACCACGAAGCTCGTTTACAAACTCAACTCGGCGCACGTCAACCAGGGGTACACTGCAGACGGAGCCGAGGGTATCAACGACCACAAGGAATGCTACGAGCACCGTCGCTTCACGAACGAGCTGTGCCCTTCAGACAGTGAGTTGCCGGGCTTCAAAGCCACGCTCGACGACTTTTACAAGCAATGTCTCTGGCTCGCGATGAACGTGCTCAAATGCCTCGCCATGGTGATGGGCCTCGAAGACGACTTCTTCCAAGGAATCACGAAACGAGCCGATCCGCAGCTGCGCCTGATTCACTACCCGCCCATTGAACGCAGCGTGATCGAGCAGCAGGGCCAAGCGAGGATCAACGCCCACACGGACTTTGGGTTGTGCACGCTGCTCTTCCAGGACGGCGTCGGCGGCCTGGAGGTAGACCCGTCGCACGAGAACAAGTTCGTGCCAGCGCCGCCGATCCAGGGTGCCGTGTTGATCAATATTGCCGACTTACTCCAGCGGTACACAAACGGACGGGTCAAATCGACGCGGCACCGGGTGGTGAGTCCCTCGATGGACAGATTCAAGAACTGCGAAGTCTTGCCATCCCGATACAGCATCCCGTTCTTTGTCCACCCGGACCCAGAGACGGTCATCGACCCGATCTTGTTGACCGAGGGCGAGGTCAAGCTGTACGAGCCCGTCAACGCGGGGCAGTGGAGGGACTGGAAGACGGCGACGAATTACCGACTCAAAGGCGAGAATGGCGAGGAGGTGAAATTGAGGAGCGTGGCCGTCGAGACTTGAGGTCCGTGGTCGACAGGGTGGCGAAGAACCGCCATGTTATCTCTTGAGCATGTCCTTGTTCATGTTCATGTGGGTGAAAAAAGTCGCTTGCCACGTACGGCGTAGATGGATGGGTGTTTGGATGACTTGTGTAACTGCACAACGTACTCTTTATACATGTTGTTATATTCGCTGACGTGATGAGATCACGGTGCTCCGCTCCATAGTGCTTGTCTGGTATATATTCAATAACGGGTGATTCTCCATGAGGCCTCCGTATGTATGGATTGATGACCGCTGTGTGGCCGGGTGCCAGAGACACCATAATATGGAGAAAGACGTAGCGTACTTCAACCAACCTCCCGTTCTGGCATTTATGTCGTGCAACCTATCGTCGCCCTCTCCATCGCCATGGGTAATTATTGCAAAACCCATCACCAAACGGTCGCTGGTTGACGTCTGCTGCTTGGTGCTCAATCCCGAGCTCGAGCGCCCTTCCCGCATGTCTCAACGAATCCTGGCAACAGGTCATAACGTCTGATGATATCTGAGCAATGACACCCCTTTCCAACGCTCGACGTCTGAAATCGCAACCACATGCACAGCGACCATAAACAGACTTTGGCGAGCACACGAACGGGAGACGATCCCCGGTGGCTAGAGCGACGTCCCCTAAGGACTAGGAGATGGGTACTTCGTTTGTACGCCTCCTATAATGATCCCATGTCCTGACCGGTGGTACGCAACCCAGATCCTGGAAGACAAGGTCCTGCCTTACCCGAGCGAGGATCCTGTGTACTTCAAGGCTGCTGGTTGCAGCCTTCGTACAGCCACATGTGCACACTAGCTTTCGGGACGCGCTTGACCTTCCCTCGAATCGGACACTGTTTTCTGTCGTGCCCTTTTAGGATGCCAGCCACTTAGGTTACCAGCCTTTTCACACATCTTCAAGGGAAAGGAAACTCAGATGGGACGGCCTGAGGAAAGTTTACCTTATTCACATCTCAACTATTCTGCTGCAAGGTATCTCGCTCCACCAGGTCTGCGGGCTTTTCTGTACGAAGATGCCGCCAGATCAAAACACCGTGGATTACCCGCTTCCGTCGGCGCCCGATATCGCTGCGCTGGAGTGGAGATTTGGGATGCTCTTTTTTCTTGTCGGCATCCTGCTGCCGCCTGCACCGCGTTGTCGTCATGCGGGTAACCAGAAGGCGAAGGTGATTATGGAAACGGTTGATCGGCATCTGAGACTCGAATCGGCCATTCTCCGACCATCCTATTTGGGGTGTCACCAGCGTCGTCGTTTGTACGATCTCCGTGGCCCTGACCTTTCGCCGTACAAAAACTTCCATTATGAAGTCCGAATTTTCGATTTTATGATGTCCCTGGTTTCTAGGATTCACGATCCCCTAACATGGCGAAGAGTACTGGGACATCGCGAGATGTTGAAGCCGGAACAATACCTGTACGAGCAGAAGAGCCGCTGTCCGAGAATAAGATCGTGCTCGAGGATGAGAAAACCGAAATCCTGGTCGATTGGGACGGCGAGAATGATCCGGAAAATCCTCAAAACTGGTCAACCGTGTTTAAATCCTGGGTCACCTTGCAGCTGAGTTTACTGGCGTTTGCTGCGAGTCTGGCTTCCAGCATTATCGCTCCCGCAAATCGAACCATCGCCGAATACGTCGCAGTCAGTGAGAATGTTGTTGTTCTCAATGTCTCTCTCTACATGTAAGTCCCGACCGGCCACAGGCTCTGGTTCATCGTTGAGTGGCTGATTTTGTGTCCAGTGTTGGCTTCGCCTTTGGCCCTTTGATCTGGGGTGGGTCCCTTCTCCCTGAGTTCCCAGCTCTCCCGGTGGCCTTCTAGCTCTGGAAACAGCGGCACTGACACTTCAATGCTGTAGGTCCATCGAGCGAAGTTTGGGGGCGGAGATGGTCCACGTTGCCGGCAATGGCGTGTCTAGCTTGCTTCTCCATCGGCACCGCAGTGAGCCAGAACGCCCAGTCGGTCTTTATCAACCGGTTCTTCAGCGGCTTCTTTGGCTCAGCTGCTGTTAGCAACGTCAATGCCGCTCTGGGCGACATTTGGTCTCGAGAAGCTCGTGGCACAGCTGTTTGCATGTATGGATTGTGCGTCGTTGGGGGGCCAACCCTAGGTCCAACAATCGGCACAGCTATCCTAGTCAATCCCCATATGGGCTGGCGATGGACCGAGTATACCACGGCCATGCTCAATTTTGCGATTGTTGGGCTGACCTACTTCTGCATGCCGGAGATGTATCCGCCGGTGCTGTTGAAGTGGAAGGCCCAGCGACTACGACGAGAGACCGGCAACAACCTGTACTACCACCCTCACGAAAGAATCAAGGTCGACATCAAGTCAATCGTCACCAAGCAATTGTCACGGCCGCTCAAGATGCTCGTCACAGAACCAATGGTCACCTGCATCGCATTCTACGCGTCCTTTGTCTACGCAATTCTCTACATGACACTCCAAGTCTTCCCGATCGTCTTTGAAGAGCAGCGACAGTGGTCGCCCGTGGTCGGCTCTCTGCCTTTCCTCGGCATGTTCGCGGGGATTATCTGCGCCACCGGCGTCAACCTTGGGAATCAGCCCAGATATATCCGGAAATGCCGGGCTTCCAATGGAAGGCCGGTCCCTGAAGCAAGACTGCCGCCTCTGGCAATTGGGGCCGTCATGATGGTGGTTGGCTTGTTCTGGTTCGGATGGACTGCTGCCCCAAAGCATCCCTGGCCCCTTCCCGTCGTTGCTGCCATGTTTATCGGTGGTGGCTTTAACGTCATATTTCAGCAATGTAAACATTCCCGCTCTTTCTCCCGGTCTCCCAAGAGCTCCTTGTGAGACCCGCTACTGACGCATCAATCTAGGCATCAACTACCTGGTTGACGTTTACGGCCTTTATGCGGCCAGCGCTACAGCCGCTAACACTTTTCTGCGCAGCATCCTTGCCGCGGGTCTCCCTTTGGCTGCCCGACCCATGTATCATTCACTTGGAGTTGGGCCTGCAACGTCGATCCTTGGTGCCGTGGCGTCGATGATGCTCCCCGTGCCATTCATCTTCATGAAGTACGGCCTCATTCTGCGGAAGAAATCGAACTTTGCCCCCGTGCCGGATGATTGACCTCGACCTCGACCACCTGTGGGCTCCGGACCCTTCCCAATATAACGGCGACGCTGTGTTGCTGCGAGATTACTCAGCACTCTTTGCTGCTCCAGTGCCACAACAAGCACAATCGCAGCATCATTGAGGATTGCCGTTCCAGGATTTAACGTCATGGCAGTCCCAGAACGACCTTGATTGGGAGACTCCAGCGGCACGCTGACGGAGCGTCATCTGTAAGTTTGATACTTTGAAGGCAGTGACATCCGGTCCCGGGCAAAGGATCCGTCAACGGTGTACAGGCGTACAAATGTGCAAAGTATCTCACAGAACACTACACTGCTCCTTTGACCCGGCTGCTCTCCTGGACCCCGTGTCCTTTGCGAACATTCAAGTCGAATACTTGAACTATCGAACAGACAGGCAATTCCAAGCCATTATCCTGCAGCAGACAAGTTCACAGTGACCGCCCATCCATCCATCCATCCATCCATCCATCCGTGACTCGTGACTCGACCGGCGCTGTTCCTGCCTTGTGCTTCGCAAGGCGCGGATTTACATGGCTCAAAAATACTAAGGGCGCGATGGGGCCGGGACTCTGCACCATTTCATTCCCGAGCGCAGATACCGATGTCAGCAATGCCCTTTCGAGAACGAGGATTTATATCGGCATGCATAAGGAGCCATAGTGGATGGAAGGGAGGAGGAAGAAAGAGGAACTCACGATGTCGGATACCACTGGTCGACAATCGATATAGCTACTTAGGGTGAGAGACAAGAAAACAGGAAGTCACAACGATAATAAAGATATAAATCAATCCTAACATACATACATGCCACGGAGGCAAGGGTATTGAAAACAAAGGAAAGAGACCCTATATCGTCGGTAGCCTGACCTATTCTAAACCACCCATCACAGGCTCATACGTTGATAGTCGAAACAGAATCACCAAGTGGCCCTGTACTAAAGTAAGTAAATGTAGTTCTTGGAGGGATGAACCTGCACGTCCGTTCACCCAGACACTACTCACGACACATGGTTCAGATTGCCTCTCTCATATAACGGCACATGAAATAGGTACGGGGTTAGGTGGGATGTAATGTAAACTGAATGTAAATGGAATTGGGACAAGTTCAGTGAATGAAAGCATCGGCAGTGAATGTCAATTTCACTTCAACATCAATGTCGCAACATTGATTCAGTAGCACATGGCAGCCAGAAGTGACCAAGCAGATCCCAAATGGCAGTTTGTCCGCCTTTATATCAATGTTTCCTTCTTCTCTTTCTCCCTCCTCTTTTTCCCTGCTTTCTCCCCTGCATCACAAGCACCAGGACGCTCTTTGGGCGGTTTTCTTTTGTTCGATGCCTCGATATAGGTTGACCTTCTTTCCTTGTTCCTTTTGACAGTCCACTCATCTTATTGTTCATATTGCATCTTCCTTGCTATTGAAACTTGGATCCTTCAGAAGTTCATCAATCTTTCCAGCAATCGCGCAAGTCTCACGTCATCCCCAGCGTTCAGCGCCAGGCCATAGTCTGAAACTGTATCCATCAACATTGGAAGATCTGTCGTGAAGTGGAAACTCTCTGGCGATTAGGTGGCGGTCTTGGAATCAACCGAGTAGGGACTACTTCGGCCATATGCGAACGCACAATGTCTGACACCGGAGTCAAGAAAGCTGAAGAGGGTTGTTGTCTAGCCGGACATGGATCCATATTGGGACAGGGCGGGTCTGAATCGAAATCTGACAATGTGATCAGCACCACCGAGGCAGAGAGTATCGATGATTCGGCCGTCGATTGGGAAGGACTCAAGCCCGAATCCAAAGACGCTCGATGGGCTGGGAGAGCAGCACTCCGTCCCTCTCGGAATCGGTCAATTGCTTCAATTCTCAGCCCGCCCGAAACTCCTCAGTGGCTAGTCAGCAATGACAGTATTGAACTAGGAGAAACCAAGTTCTACACCCTTTCGGAATCAGTGGCCCGCCGCTATGACACTTTTACAGGACAGCTTGATGAATTGAACAGAACAGAAAGCCCCAGGACCCTCACCACTTATCTGTCAGTCCCGCGGTTGTGGCACAATACTTCCGAGGTCGATTTGGACCAAATGATTGGTGAGGCCATGGACGAGGGCCGATGGAGACGCAATCAGACCCCAAGGCCACGGACTGTCCTCGCGCCAGTGTCACCAAACATAGCAGAAGCATCCACACCAGACCGATATCTGGCTTCACCTTTCTGCTGGCCTGACTCGGAGACAATTTGGAGGCTCGGACGCCTTGACAGGGAAGAGAACTGGCGAGTGAAGCGGGATCTAGAAACGCTCAAGCGGGCCGATGAGATGAGTGGGTACAGACGAACCCTTGCTGCGAGCTGGGCGTTGGCCTCGGTGGTGGCATGGGAACCTGAAGGCCCTGTTCGGTTGGGAATCCAGATGAGTAACCCCGAGAGCGAGCATGAACAGTCTGCGGAGCCGAGCTGTATCGCGGTTTAGTTCTTGGGTGGAGTGAAAGGCCTGCTGAGGTTGTTCGGTTGAGGCGCAGCGAGGCACAAGCGATTGTTGAAATCTGGTTTTGACACGGCAAAGAAAAGAAGAAAGGCCAATGAAATCCCATGAAATTGTTGTACGCCAACCCCTGGGGCAACGAAGTGGTTCCATCTGAAGAAGTTCATCTGCAGAATCCGGGACCAGAGGAATCGGTATAAGTTTGCCGATTCTGGCGCGAAGACTCATGACATTTTGGAGACTGGGATTGGATGTCTTTTGACATATGTGTGCTTCATTGCTGGTGTAACCCTGACGCCTTTCAGGCGGGTGGTCCTGCAGTACATCAGGACAACATCCGCCCGTGAATCAGTATTTCTTTTTGTGTATCTCACCATTGTCTGCGACAAAAGACCCCTCTGAGACCCTTCCATCTACCGTGTCTTAGACACCATCGCATACCCTCCCAAACATGGATTTCCGGCAAGTGAGGAGGATTCCAATCACCAAGGGATGGGGCCCTTGCAAAAGAACTCACTGGGTACCTGTGAGCGACTACGAGTCGTGGCAGACTCCTGACGGCTTCACCCATACGTCGCACTGGAGCGTAGGCATTGATCCTTGGGCGCCTGGAATCCGAAGACCAAGAATATTGCTGGCAGACCACGATCTACAATACCTGGGCTTTCGGGAAACGAGACCGGGAGGGCCTGGCTGGCTATTGTGTCCTGGCCTCGGCGAGGTCAATGAGATATTGGACGCGGCGTATGCTCGAGATCAGCAAGAGCTCGAGGAACGCCGGGCAATTGAGGAACGCCGAGCAGACGAGTATAGAAGGAAATGGCTCGCCCTCCACGAGGCGCAGACTGCCACAAATCGGTTACCTCAGCACATGGAGGAGTATCATAACCAGATGCAAAGGCCCATCAACGACGACCGACTCCGAGGTCTGCAAACAGATGCTGAGTCGTATGCCGAAAGGAAGAGACAGCGAGAGGAAGAACAGCGCAGAAGAGATCGAGAGAGGGAAAGGGAGCTCCGCGATGCCGAGTTGGGACGGAGGACGCGCGAAGACCTGGAAGACTATGGATTCGTGCCTGTTACACGGCGGCGAGGGGGAGGGCGAGGAGGGCGGCGGTGAGGCAAGAGTCTTGTTCTTGGACTTGGAGCGCGGTAGAGGTCGTCTTGGAGGGCTGTGGGTGTGTGTTTGTTGAAGCAATGTGACAAGGCGTCGAGGTGTAATGGCTTGGTGTTGGTGTTGGTGTTGGTGGCAGAGGAATTCACAGGCAGGAATTGTCCGTTGGGCGAGGATCCGCAGGCCGCACTTCTCCGATTCCATACCAAGAGGATCAAAGGGCGCAGTACCGAGTATCCAGCACCGTCAATCAAGCAACTGTCGACTACTAGTCCTGCTCCTCTGGCCAGCACTCTTCTTCTCTCTTGTCATATCCTATCCTTGTTTTATTGCAGAGGAATCTCTCTCAACATGGCTCCCAAACAAGTGGTAACGTCAGACAAAGGCCTCAAATCAAACCTCTTCTCTCAGGCTACCATCCACAATGGCACCGTCTATGTTAGTGGAAATATTGGCATCGTTCCCGCCACGATGAAGGTGGTGGAAGGTTCAGTCGCAGACAGGACGGTCAGGACACCCACAGGCGAGGTGCCATCTGGCCAGTGACTGATGCCCCGTCGCCTGCAGAAACAAGCTCTGGAAAACATCAAAGTTGTCCTAGAGGAAGCCGGAAGCAGCCTCGAGCAGATCCTCAAGGTATATAATATCCGCATCCAGACCATCCTCGAGAAGCATTGACCAGGTCTAGATGAACATCTACCTGACAAACATGGAAGATTATGCTGCCATGAATGAGGCCTGTGCGTGGTTTTCAGTTTCCCCAACCTCGCTGCTACATTCCTGGATTCTGCCTGACCCAGAACAGTCCTCAAAATCATTCCGGATCCGAAACCAGCACGGACCTGCGTCTGCGTCAAAGAGCTTCCCTTCAAGACGGATGTAAGGCCATCCTATCTGCTTGCCGCTCCTTGAGGCTAACGGCAGTCAGGTTGAGATTGAATGCATCGCCGCATTGTGAGGGCAGGTAAAATGCTGGCATTGTTGAACTCGTAACGCTGACGATTTCCCAAGGAGTCAGGCTTCAGGGCCAAAGCTCTAGGTTGCTGTTGAACATCTTTGGTTTAAATCTAACCTTCAGAGGACAGCTTTCTCTTTGTCAAAGGATGTGTTTGCAACACCAGGCCCTCGGGGCGCTGCTTGCTCCATCATCGTTTGGCTTTGGCCGAAGCCCGGAATCAAAGAACCAGACTTGACAGTGACAATACACCATAAAATATGACAATGGACTCTTGGATGAAAACGGTGCTGCTCTTTCTTCCGTTTCCAGAAATGGCGACGTTGAATCTACTTTCTATTCATCCCCCATTCACATATCTCCATTCATATATTTTCCACTCAATCCACTTTGCTTCTTTTGTTCCTGGCTGATCCGAATTTTGTCTCCGTGAAGACAGAAAATCCTTTGAAAATATATCGAGGTAGATATCAGTGGCTATCATTTGCAGAGCTCAAACCCCGAACATGGCTCCACGCGGACGGTCGACGGCGACTCCAACTCGGAGGATGACAAGGCCATCCGCTATGAGGAGGACACCCGCAGCACCCACAGAAAGCACGTCATCATCTGCAACCCAAGGAGCAACCGCGCCAACAACACCTTCCAGAGCTCCTCGCAACACCACCAAATCACCGTCGAAGACTGCAATACCAGCAGCACAACCTAGACGTGCCCCAGCCAAACCAGCTTCAACCAGGGCCAAGCCAAAAGCCACACCGGCGACCAAAACGCCTAAGACCACTAGTCGCACGAAGGCAACGCCAATCGCCAGAACGAAGGACGACAAAGGCAACGAAGATGGGGCACCACAGACGACAATTGACAACAATCAGATATCCGAGAACGAGGAAGCTGAAACAAGGACGAGGAAATCAAAGCCTTTGGATATTGGTGTGAGCGACAACGCCTCAGAGGACGAATCGGTGATCCCGCCGAGAGCGGAAGCTGCGTCAACTCCCAAGGGGAAGAGGAAGGTAGTGGCGGTTGAAGGCGAGCCGTACGTTGATGAAGAAGAAACCGACGAACAAGATGCAAAGCCCGTAGAATCAAAGACTCCGGTCCGCAAACGGAAGACCAGGCCTTTTGACGAGCAAGCCTACAGGTACGAAGGAGAAGATTCCGATGACGATGATGACGAGGAACTTGATGATGATGTCCCGGGGGATTTGCCGGTCAACCGAATCCGAAGAATTCATCTCAAAGTCGATCTAGAGAGACACAAGCAGTATATGCAAATGCATGTTGAGAGACGAGCCCGTGCATCTCCCGCAGCTTCAAGCTCCTCGTCGGGGTCTGGATCGTCGCAACCTCCTAGCACATCAACTTCTTCAACATGTTCCTCTAGATCTGCTCGGCGGCAAAGAACCGGTCCCCCCCTGAAGCGTCAACGAACGGTATTGCCCACAGTGGCCGACCCCTTGGACCCGAGTAGCAGCGGCGCTCAAATGGACGCTGTGGATCCCAATGATCCCCTCTTTGCCGCGGAGCAACTGTTTGAAAACATCGAAAAGATACCAAGGGCACTGGATCTCGACGAAATCGGTGCCCTCTTCATGATTCTGCAAGAGAAGATCTCGCGCTTTTGCAACACCCATTTCGATTTCGACCTCACCACTGAGCAAGAGAAGGCGTGGCCTATGCACCTCTTGGCCACGAAGTACCTATCGCTGATGCTGATAACACAAAGAATTGCAGACGGGAGCGAGTATGGCTGGCAGAATTTCTTCACGAAGCGGGAATACCGACGACATCTCGTGCACGGCATCATCGGTGAATGGTTCCAGCAACGCATCTTCAAACACACCGGTTTCAGCCTCCCAGAGGAAAAGGTACGCGAACTCGAAAAAATCGACCGCAAGTTTCTCCACTACGACGCCTTTGTGCGTAATAAGAAGAAGGCCGAGTGTCTAGAGGAGCTGAAATTCGCCGAAGATTACTTTCCCAGCGAGGAGTTTCCCAAAATCTTTGAGCATATGGACAACCTAGAAATTGCAGCTCGGAGAATGGCCACCAACCTGCTTAGGGTTTTGGAGCCGCTCCTTCCACCTCCATCCTTTGACCCAACCCGGCCGCAATGGAGACAGCCGTCTAGGCTCCGGGAACAAGGAGACGAAGTCCGCCTTCAGATCTGGTTCCAGCTCATTGAGTTGATCAGAATGGCAGGCAGTCTGCACCTTTGCATCCGTTTTGCTGGCGCAAACGGACTCGTCGTGCGCATCGCACCACACGTACCCAAGGGCACCAGATTGCGCCGAGACGACGTGGAGAACAACATCTGCGTGAATGCCAACGCGCTGAATGTCGAGAGTGCTCAATCTCGGAAGCCAAACGACGAGTTAGAGGTCAAGATGACCTGCTTTGGGCGAGTCGAGGCCGTCGTACCGAATGGGCTCGACGTGCTCGAACTCGAACAAGCACAGACATCAGCCCGAGCAGAAGGGAGAGAGCTCACCCGCGAAGAAGCCGAACAGAACCTTTTCAACCTGTATCCGTACGATTTGCAAGAGACGGACGCTGCGAAGGACGCCGTTGCGGATCTGCCACCGATTCCCGGAACAGAGTGGTCCACCGCGCTCCTCAAGGCTGGCATTGAGGAGGCTCGCGCCAAACGATACGGGCGTGACCTTGCAGAAGACGAGAGGATCGAGCAAGGAAGCCCTAAAAGTGGTGCGTTCGTCACCATCTATCCCAGAGTCGCTCCCTCGAACCTCTACTGCGAATGGGTCTCTTCCTCCGAGGACCAACAATTCCCGCGCATCGGAGACGCAGCGCCGCAACCATCCGCTCAGACCCTCGCCGAAGCCGTCGCAGAAGCACGCCGCAAAAAATACATCTCGTGCCCCCTAGAAGACGCCGCTCTTATGGTTTGGAACACTGTTTGGGCACGCGGGTTTCTCGAGTGGCTGGTGCTTGCCGGCGGCATCGCCGGCGTCAGCGCTCTTACGGCCCCGTGGGTCAGGAACGCGGTCCAGAGCGTCAACTGGCCAGAACGGTCGATGGACGTCGGGATGAATGTCCAAGCCTGCGCCGTCCATGCCTTGTCTGCCGTGGGCGGCTGGCAGAGCGCGCTTCAAGATGCCTCGGCGTACGTATCCCAGCTTGTCGCGCCGACTGCTGCCAGTACTTCCGTAACCGTCACAGCGCTTCCAACGGACTGGACTACAACGACGACGACTATGCTAGTCGATGACCCGACCGATGGGGATCAGCCCATGGAAGACGTCTCTCCTCCCTCTACTGTTACCACCACCACTGTCGCTGCCTCCTCCGATCCTTTTTCCGAATATCTGGAAGGACTCACGAGCATATCCCGCCGAACCATCGCGCGCGACGACCCTGAGTTCGCCATGGTCGCGAGTCTGTTCAGCGAGCAGATGGGTTTCGTCCAGGCCGAAACCGAGACTCAGACACCGCCCCAGCTGGAACCCACTCCGTCTCCTACAGCCAGACACTCCAAGGTGCTTTGATATAACTCGAGGTTGAGATCACGGATGGTCCATAGACGTAGTGTCGACGTTCACGGAGAATGATCGAAGTCGACACAGACGAAGGCCAGGATAACACGGAAGGGAAAGGAAGAAAAAAGAAGGCCTGCAGGGCATAGCACAGAGATGGCGTGTATGTATGCATGTATGTATGTAAGTGACGTGCTGAGAGGACAGGACAGAATTCAGGTTCAAACACCCTCAGAGGCTCGCCGCTCAGGATTCAAAAGTGAGGAAAAGAGCTGAACAACGATGAAACACGTTGACTTGGGTCGGACAGAAGAGGATAGGATAGGATAGGATATGTTCAACACGTCACACGATTTCTTTTCTTTTCTTCTAATCAAAGAACCAGAGTACAAAGTTCTCCCTCTTTGGAGAGGGAAGGGGACGTTTAGATTGAGATAATTAACATTCATTCTTCAACCTTCCCCTTTTATTTATTATGGATCAGTCATTACATTATCTTAGGTACGTATGGCGCCGCTCTGCAGACATGCTTAAGCCGGATGGTCCCTGTCCTTTTCCTTTTCCTTTTGTTTTGTTTGTGTGAGTGAGTCCTGGAGGAGACGAGGGACCTTGCTTGATGCATGGCCTACCATCGCCATCGCCATCATCACTAATAGGTATTTAGCTCTCCCTCTGTTTCTGTGCGTGCTTCTGGTGCCGCATATTGTATCGTAGCGTAATCCTGACAAGTCGACTTCTCCAAGTCCGCCTGAAATACACCCAGGCACTATTAACCCCGAGAGACCAGAAAGCCCTATTGTTCCCGGATATTAATAGCCAAGATACTGTAGGTAGGCATCATGGCATTAAGCACCCTGACGGCTTTTCCAACAAGAACATCTTTCCTCCAACAATCCTCCCTCCTTCGATTTGTGGAAGCGAGCACGTAAACAAGAAAACAAAGTCAAAGAAACAGGCCATCTTGCCTTTTCATATTGGCTTCCCCTCCTTGATTCACTCGTAGCCAAACTGCATCCATCTGATTGACCCCTCTCTATGACTCTGTCATTCCCTCTTGCTGATCAAGCATTTGACATTTCCGAGGTCAGAGATTCAACAATCCCCTTGACTATCCCTTCCGCCTGCGCAACCTCCTTCAAACACTTCAGCCAGGCGCACTCTGCCCGACTTGCCTCCATCCGGGCCTTTTCCATTGCCTTTTCCGCGTCCCTAGCTGTGTTGACCACTTCAACCATACACTTTGATAGTTCGATAAGACGTGCCTTGCGGACCGACTCGGTCGAGTTGCGCGCGAGGTCCAGCAGAGTATGGGTTAGGGCTGTCGTGGCAGCAAGTATTGGCGGAGTAGTGGGGGCTAAAGTAGTGGGTGACCGTGCTTGGGGATGGGCGTGAGTGGTGGGAGAGGCGATCTTGTTTGCTGTCGCATTGGTGGCCATTGCACTGTTTGCGAGTGGCGAAGTTGGATAAGTTGATGTTTGTAGATTTGCCGTGAAGGGTGTTGTGGGGCTGGTAAATGGATTCTGGCGCCGCAGCGCTCTCGTGCCCATGCCATTGAGTTGTTCTCGTGGTTCCTTTAGCTGGCTTTCTTGGACGAAAAACGGATAATCTGGCTCCACCAAGCCGTTTCGGTTTGGCTTTGTGTTGCCTTGTCCCGTTCCTTCATCGGCGCTAGAATTCATGTGGGTTGGGTGATTCAATCTCTTCTCTTTCTGACTCCCCAACGTTGCGGTTGGGGCTGGTTTACAGCGTACAAAACCAGGATCAACAGCTGCTCGGCCCGGCTTCGGGTACACCTCATCTGCTACATCGCCACTTTCGGTGAAAGCTGTTTCAGCCTTAATCGATTCGACGGACTTCTTATGGAACAGGCCCCGGATGTTGGAAATGACCTTCTTCTTGCTTGAACTCGACGGACTATGTGCCAGGACATGTGAGATCTTCCTTCCCTTGACAGAATCAGTGCGTGGAGAAATACTCTGTGAAAAGGTCTTTACATTGCGTGGCTTTTTGATGTTATCCTGGCTCACTGCGTATGCTTTTGGCGCTCGTTGTGCCAGGAAGCTGACTGACGGAAGATGACGCTCAGGTGGAGAGACAATGATTGGGGGTGGCTTTGGTTTCCGCGACGAAGTGCGCGGTGGGAACGGCGTAGTGGTTTTGGATTGCGGAACTGGTGTTGCCTCGTCATATGTCACTTTTGCAAGATCGTTGACGAGTTTCTCCTGTTTGGCTTGTTCTCGTTCTAAGTCTTGGAACAAGAAAGGTGCTGTCTCTTTACTGGGTGCGGTGCGAAGGACGATGGTCGGTGGTCTCGATGAAGAAGTTGGTGTTGGTCGTTTCGTGACAGACCCATTGGCCACATTTTCCGGAGTGTTTTCGTTCTGCCTGACCGTGACAGTCGTCAAGTCAGAGCATGTTTTGAATTCCGCAAAGTCCTTGCAAGGCCAATCCCTCTGAGCAGAGGTTGGAGTTGTCTGACAATCAGAGGTTCCTTTTATTGTCGCTCGTGTAGTATTGACGCTGGTATGTAAGTCTCTGAGCAAGCCCGTCTCGAAATCAATGCCATCACCGGGAAGCTCTGCACGCGCAACGGGATTGACAGAGCTCTCCTCACCGATGGGGTTGTGCGTCTCGTCTTGATCTGCGTCTTCGTGTTGATTTAGAGATCGGTCTGTGAGGTTTCTCACAAGAGGCATAGAGCGGCCAAAAATGGCGCTGGATCGTCGGACCTGGTCGTTTGCAAGGCGTGGGGAGCCAATATCAGGAGCGCTTCCCTTGTGTCTCAAGGCTGGTGTGGGACTTTGCATGCCTAAGGTATTGTCATCGACCCTTCCCAGCAGAACTCGACTCGCAGAATCTGTGATGCGAAGAGTCGGTCCCATCTTAGACCCATTCCGAACGCGTCGAACTCGGTAACCCCCGAAGGAGTCATAACCATGGATGCTGACTCCAGATTCACCATCACTGTCAACGAAGGACTCGTCCTCGCGGGGAGCGGTTGTAGATAGCAGTTCTTTGACATTCAAAAGCTTGGCTTTATCTTTGGCGGTGAGTTCAGATGGGTCGCCCTTATCAGCGGCTCCGTTGCCGGCAAAGTTTCCAACAGGATGACCTGGGAGCTCGTGTGTGACGGAGGTTTTGTTCACGGCAATGCTCATGAAGGGCTCTGCAGGAGAGTTTTCGCGCACATTCCCTTGGCTGCTTTCTTCTATTGATTGACACGTAAGCCGAGTGGGCAAAGGAAGCGAACTCTTGCGGCCCTCTTGTCTCAGTGAAGTCGGTTTTGGAGCCGTAGTTCCATCCTGGCCATCATCGAACCCTTGATCGTCGGCCGGACCGCGAAAAGCTCTTTGATCAATACCGGTCTCGTCTCCTGAAGCCGTCTTGCGACCTGACTTGGAGCGGGAGGGGATTGTATATGGAGAGCCACGCCCTGTAACACCGTAGCGATTACGGGAATGTGTACGGACCGGCACTCCAGGAAAGGATTGCTTCGAACGCGAAACCGAAGGAGACTCAGCTCGCTCACGGATAGGTGGAATATGATCCCTGCTCTCGGTCTTCCTTCCACCGAATCCCCCGATTGCCTTTGCCTGATGAAGTCGCAGGGCTGAGGTCTTGGTTTGACGAGTGACAGGGGAACCGACATGACGAGACAATGATTGGAGCAGAGAGTCGCGAGGTTTTGGAAGCTGGCTTGAGGAGAGAGGACGGGATGTAGCACCACCAGCAGCGACTGCTAAATTAGTCTCTTGAACATGGTTTCCATCTGACACCAATCCAGCCCCCTCGGAAGCGGTGGCATTCTTTTCCGATTTGGCGTTGGGTTCAGTTCGAACAACGTTTTCTTTATCGTCTCCTAAGTCCAATGCTCGCATGCCTTCATACAAGCTCCCGCTTAGACTTGGTTTAACCCGAGACTGGGTCGCTCGAGATGGGATGGCGATGTCGGGCTTTGTTGGCTCAATTGTCGGCCAGTCTTCCTGCTGTGGAACTCCGCCATCAGGAGGGGTTAGAGACCGCCGAAGAGGTCTTTCAGTGCAGTCGATGAGGGATCTGCGGACAGGTGATTTGGTGTTGACGGTTGCGACAGGAAGACTTGGAAGCGGTTTATCTGGAGGACGTTGAAGACGTGGACGACTCAGTGGAGCCGGAACAGGCGAGCGAGAGCTTCCGGACAAGTTGTGAGGTTGTACCTACACATTCCATTAATATCGCACGAGAAAACAGTCACGCCTCCCTTACGTTGAGTCTTGTTGTCGAGGACGTCCCCGACGCGGCAGTTGGATTCATATTCGCGACCCGCCCTCGTGAAAAGCTCGCCTTCGGACGCAGCTTTGACAACCCAAGATGTTTCGACGCGCTGTTGACCCAGGACCTCTTTCGGCTTTCACTGTCCAGAGTAATTGGCGTTACGGGTGATGCATTCGTGTTGACTGTTCTTGATCTTGGTTTCAGCAGGAGAAGCTGAGCTGGAGAAGAATTGGGCAAGGACAGCGGAACGGGAGGATGGCGCGGTGATGGCGTTTCTCGAGACCGAAGACCAGTTGGCATTCGAGAGAGGACGATGCGGTCCTTGCTGGAAAGTCCTTGGTCGCCGCTGAGAGACATGGTCTGAAGATGAGTTTGGTCAGGCCATGGAGGGAGGATACAATCTCTGATGATGGAGGTCTGGTGGTAGTGAAGGCCGACAGATTGTTTTGGTGGGTGCGGCAGAAGAAGATGGATTCCTACTGTGTGAAGTGCCTGGCCTGCAGCCGGTGACAAGGAAAAACAAAATCATTCCCAATTGCCTCGTGAACAGCCCTTCTCCCTTTCATTCACTGACAATGCTCCAAAGCCCATGCCTTCTTTGGCCTCCAAGGAATTCCCGTAACCTGCGATCAACAATGCAGCGTAAGAACTGGCAGACACAGCGAATAGCCATCCTCACCGTTTCCCCAGTGAATGGCTGTGAGATCGTTGCTAATCGTTCTCGTCATCCCCCTGATAATTCGCCTGTTGGGATTCGCCGACTTCTTTCTTCTGCTTACCGGCCTCATACTGCTCCATGTTTCTCGCCCTCCACTTCGGCCCACCAAAATCATCCTCCCTCAGCCTCTCGCCGTCTTCAATCGCGAGACCATGCTTCTGAGCCATCTCTTCCAGCCTCCGTTGCTCTATGATCATGTTCCTCAAAAATTCAGTCGTTTTCCCCAGCATGACTTGCTCGCTCCTCTCATGGCCTAGAGCGCCGGGGACAAGGTGAGAAAGTTCTGTGAAGCGTTCACGGATAGCCGTGCGTCGCTTATTTTCGGCGTCTTTGTGGTTGAAGTTCTTCTGAGATGCTGTTAAGCGTGGCTTCGACACCTTGTTCGCTTTCTTGGTTGAGCTAGATTTGGAAGGAGTTGGTTGGGCGTCAGAGGTTGGTGTTGATTCTCGGGAGGATCCATTTGACTCCGTCCCCTCTTCTTTCGACATCATGTGGAAGGTGTCCTGTCAGAGATAAAATTCGAAAGAGGAATAAACGAATGGACGGCACCCTTTTCTGGGCAACCCCCGCCAGAGTACGGAGTAGTCTGCCGGTGAATCTCAGCGATTCCTCAACATTATCTCGCACGAGACCCAGTTGCCGATGAGTCTGAAGATATTACCGATGCAATATGAAACTGATTTGGAGATTCTAATGCGAAGAGAACAAGGAAAGGATAGTGTTCGGGTTGGTCGAGCTGATGCCGGTCCAAGACGTGGATGAGCCGGTTCATGCTTTCCGTTTTGGGTCTACGGCGAGCGCCGGAGATAAAAGCCACATGCAGCTGGCAAAATCCGCGCATGTTCTGGAACTGAGATAGCATTTCCTTTCCGTTCTTTCCCAGTTCAGATCGACACCATTGTCACGATCCTTCCATCGGTATTGCGGAGGGAAGGAAAATATATTGTTGTCTCCATATTTTACGTTGCCCTCAACCAACGTCTTCCTCTGCCAGCAGCCAGGTTCTCTCTGTCGAATGATCGTATGAGATATGAGCAGAATCCGACCCCTCCAAGGTGCCTGCAACTGCGGCCGCAATCATTACTATATCACTGTCCCGCCCGATGCCACGGAACAGGCTCTAGTCTACTTTGACAATAGTAGCCAAAGCAGTCAGTTCATCACTTCCCCACTCTTATCAACTGGTTTAATGTTTTCTTCATTAGGACGAAGTCAAGCAACCCCGCTAACCGCCTGGCTCCGCGTTCCGTTGGCCTGGTACTCCTCAACCACACAATCCTTCTTTCCAGACGAAACCCATGCCTCCATCCGCAGAATCTTCACGCCGCTGCACACGCCGCATTCCCAGCGGGTGTTCTGCGGCTATTGTGGTACGCATCTGTCCTTTTGGACCGAGCAACCGGCCGAAGAGGCGGAGTACATGAACATCACATTGGGCAGTCTGTTGAGTGAGGACTTGCGCGCATTACAGGACTTGGACTTGCTGCCGGAGGATGTAGACACAGAAGAATCAACGGATGATGCGCAGCAATTTATGATGTCTGGAGCACTACAGCAGAGTGATGATGATGCGGCGCAAGGAGCCACCACACAGCAAAAAAACCAACCTCTGACCCGGACGCAGCGAAGTGGTCGAACAGGAGGCTTGACTTGGTTCGAGGAGATGCTGGATGGAAGCCGACTGGGCCGGACCCAAAATACTAGACGCGGAGTCGGTGTCAGTAACGACGGGTGGACCCAAGTCGAATGGGAAGTGTCGGAGTACTTTGACGATGGCAGCGAAGAGTTGCCTACAGGATCGAAGCGGAAAATTGGAGATGTGGGCAAAGACGAGGATGCCGCCATGCAGCATTGAGCTTCCGAGAAACGCGATACCGATGTCACAACCAAAAGATGATTGAGATGGATCATAGCGATGGAGTTCTAACAGTCGGAGCCTCGAAAACAAGGTGAAATGGAAACACAAGACAAAAAGAAGCCAAACGGACGGTCAGTCAATGTACAATCAATGACTCTACAGTGAGGATGCGACACAATGGTTCGATAAGTAGACCATGATAATAATCATCATCATCGCCATCAAGTATCCCACCCACTCTATCCATTGAGGAAGGTTAAGGGCAAAACCTTTGCTGCGGGGTATCAACAGCCTCGTCTTCTACCATGACTCCCTGCTACGCTGACCCATTCACGACCCCAGTCTCGGTGCCGGTGATTTTACTCCAAGTCCCTCTCATGGCCTCTGGCAGCGTGCCTACCTTCTCATTGAATAATTCCTCCGCCTGCTTCCACACCCTTGCGCTCTTCCGTTGGCTCAACTGCAGCAGACTCGGCAGAAGCGCCTGGGAGAAGGCCTCGCTGGCTTCCCTCGGCAACAGGGAGGGTAGGTGGTCTATGCTGATCACACACAGCGGAGGGTTCTCAAAACCGGGGACGGGCAGTGTGGGGTTCGCGAAGGTCGAATTTTCGGTGTAGATGGGGATCGGGTTGTGAGGGTTCGTGGTGTCGCAACTGACATCGCAGACGACTGACAAGTGACGTTTCGGGGATGAGAGGGATTGTTTGTTGATAAACGGCGGGATTGGGTCGCTCAAATAAATGCAATTCACAAATATGTCTGACTCGACAATCTCCTCGAAAGGTCCGCCCTTCTTGGTCTCTGGCAGGTCCCATTTGAGGATATTCTCGTCCGATATCCCAGCCTGCTTGCACAGATCAACGGCGCCACGGCCGCAACGACCTAGTGCGCCAATCACGAGAACGCGTGGCTGACGACCTGCGACCTTGGAACCCTTCTCCAGAGCCGCGTGCACGTCTTTGAGGAGAAGATCTTGACTTGGGTAGCTCGATACACTGCCCATGGGCTCACTCGGGTTGGTCAATTGGTGCGCCCAGGCTTCGATCGCCAACGCTGCGCCCGCATAGCCGGCATGATACCCGAACGCCGCGACTCTGCGTCCGGCATCATCTGTTAAAAATTCGAGGTCTAAAAGGGTACCGCCGCCCTGCGGGAAGCGGGACAGCACATCTTGCCAACCACCTTGGTTCTTGTAACAGTGTGCAAACTGCACATGCGTGTGCTTGAGTGCGAATTCGTCTTCCGGCAGCTCTTTGAGCCCGACGATGATGTGGTCTGCCGGGGCATCTTTCCATGATCCTTCGGGAACCAGGGTTGCGCCCACAGCTTCAAACTCGGAGTCGTCGAAGATGCGCTCCGGGCTGCGCTCGATATTGACTTTGTAGCCGGCGTCCAATAGGGCTTTGGCAGTGCTGGGAGTCACTATGTGAAAAGTCAGTCACTAACCTTCAGATCGCGAAGAGCAATCGAAAACGTACAGGCAGATCGATGCTCAAGGGGCTTCGACTCGGAGCGGAGATGAAGTGTTGTTGCCATCTTGATTCAAGAGGACGATGCAGAGAGAGGGGATATGCGAATACGAAGCCGAGGCCGCGGAATGAGCAGAATATATTCTGCGGAAGTGTATCGAGAAGTCCAAGTTGATAATATGACTCAAGCCCTCCCGACCAGGGGGCATACAAGTATGTAGAAATGGTGGGGAGACACATTGAACTTTTTCTGCCACCGCCAGTGACTGATCGGTGCTCGGCTGGTACAGTACCTGCCGCATGTCCAACTACCTCCTCCACGCCGCTCCACGTAAACTGAAGTTTGGATTGTCTTAAGAAGACAGCAAGCAAAGATGTCTGAATCTCAGAAAAATGGCATTCCCACGGACAATCCTCCCTCCTACGAAGCTCTTTCCATCCCTCCTCCCACAGGGGTACAAGCAGCCACAGCACCTCCGCCCGGACGCCGCCCCCTCCGTCCGCCGCCACCGTTAGAACTCCCCGCCCTTAACCTCCTGCGAAACAGACGAATCATTCTCGCCTCCCAATCCCCTCGCCGCAAACAGCTGCTCGCTCAAATCGGCCTGCATAACATTGAAATAATCCCTTCGACGTTTGCAGAAAATCTTCCCAAAACACTTTCCCCGTTCGAATATGTTCTCGCTACTGCAACGCAAAAGGCACTGGCCGTCTATAAACAGGAAGTGAACAATGAAGAAAAGGGCGAGCCTGGATTGATCATTGCGGCTGATACGATTGTTGTGAGTTCGTTGGGAGAGATTTTGGAGAAACCGACAAGTGAGGCACACCACATCGCCATGTTAAAGGGGCTGAGGGATTCGGGGTTACATAAAGTCTACACCGCCGTCTGCGCCATCACCCCTCTAGAAAGCGCAAGAGATCCGGGGTACGCTATCGAGTCCACGACGGAGGAAACAACTGTGAAATTCGATTCGGAGGTCACGGATGAATTGCTTCTAGCATATGTAAGGACAAGAGAAGGAGCAGACAAAGCAGGCGGATATGGGATCCAAGGGACTGGGGCGATTTTGGTGGAGAGGATAGAGGGCAGCTTCGATAATGTGGTCGGCCTCCCATTGAGAACAACGCTAAAGTTGATTGAGAAGGTCATGCAGCAGGCGGAAGATGATGATATCTTAGAGGGCGAGGGCGAGGATTTGCTGGAGGATGAGTAACAATATGTCCATCCCTGGACGAGGACAAAATTGGGATCAGTGGCGTCCGGCAGGCGGCTGCTTCAGTCATGGTCAGGATATAGAAGACTCAAACCAAGAACAGGTTGCTTGGTGGATATTGTGTCGTTTGTAGAAACCATGTTCTTGGAAGGCATCATGTACATGGAGGCTTCCAACCCTTTCTCCTTTCAACCTTTGTACCACTGCTTATTTCAGGTTCTTGAGCTTCCCATCATGACCCAAGCTCGAAACGTCAGCCTTGCCAATTGTAGCATCATTCTCACCCGCATGCCATATTCTTTTCATTGCCTCAACCACACCAACGTCATTGGTTTCGAACTCGTAGAAACCCACAGCCACAACGAGGGTGGCTAGGTTCAACAGCCACATGAAGGCTCGCCGCGCGGTCGGGTGACGGTTAATAGGGATATAATCGATGATGATTGACCTGGAGGAGTGTCAGTGTTTTGCTTTCCGGTGGGGTGATGCAGGTGTGCCACATGGGGTAAGCTTGATACTTACTGGAAACCCGCGTGTGAGTGGATCAGAATGCCAAAGATCAAGGCAGCATCCAGCATCGGACTGACGGAGCCGGCGGCGAAAGGAGTAATGGTCAAGGGAACCAATGCCACCGACAAGATTCGTTCAAATGTCCAGTGATAGCTTCCATGGAGGGGATCAGGCTTCGGCACGGGCGCAGGGTCGTTGACTCCTCCTTGGATGACTTGCGGACCTGGTGGTAGAATCTTCCTTTGAGCAGTCGAGGAGAAGGGCGCAATTTGAGAAGTAAGTGACAGTCGTGGGGAAAGCCATTGTCTCGTACAAGGGATTAGAGGAGCTGGCCGGAAGGGTCGAAGTGGTTGGGTAGTGCTCGAGAACAGTCGCTTAGACGCTGACAGGACTTGTGCTTGTCGAAGCATGGCTGTCCTTGAAGCTGCCGCCATATCCCTAGTACGGTCGATGGATGGTCTAATCAAGGTGGTCGAACAGCGTGAGGGTTGAGAGAGTCAATGGCCGGATCGCATGCTTCGATGGGATGTTGCTCGGCCGCCAAGAAGCTTGTCTCCGAGCCAATCAAAAGCTTTGCATTTTATATCACCAGCTAGAGAACGAGAGAGCTCCTCGTCCACGCCTTCATTCAATTTATTACGCTTCTATCAGGAACACCTTCCTCCATGGAAGTCTACACAGGGTCTCGCACTGCGACTCTCTATGCTCCGCTTATTTGATCTCCGAGAGGTGCCAGATAAAAGGGAAAATTTGCATGGACAGATCGGTTGTATAATTATTGTTAGCCTTCGACCTTACGACAATGTGGCTTTGCCAATCCGGTTGATGGATTGATTGCATCTCGTCCAGGTTGGCACTGTTGGCTCTCGCAGAAGGATACGTGAGTGCAGCTATATGGTTTAGCTCTTCACGAAGGCCCCCAAAATTGGCAGCCTCGTGAGCCTCGGATTTCGGATTGGTCTCCTTGAAGCTCCAGCACAGTGTTGGAGTATCGGGCCATGCGGGGTTCGCCCGAGGGAAGATATGCATGCGAGCCGGATATCTTCGAGCACTCATCAACAACTCCACCAGTCAGCTTAGTGTCTATTCGGCCTATTGACCTGTGGAGTCTTGTGATATGTGCTTCGTATGTCTGCTTACTTTGGTTTATCGCAAAGCCTTATATAACCTAGGATCACGGAACGGTTGGTTTATATTCGTCTCACCCAAGGCATTTTTTCTTCACTCCCGCACTGCCGTGAGATTGTCTGCCCGCTTGCTCTGCTTGCCATCAACATGACAGCCGACAGGGTTGTGCTCATTTCTGCTGCTCCGACGGAAGATGTTACTGTCCCATCGGATGCCCCTCACGAAAACAGTTGGTACAATGGCAGAGATTTTGACGGCTATCGAGTTACCGAGCAATTGCTCTTTCAAAGACGCAAGATTCGAGTCATCTGTGTAGGGGCTGGAGCGACGGGACTTCAGTTTGCCTACAAAGCAGAACGTGCCTTGAAGGACGTGGAACTGCAAATTTACGAGAAGAACAGCGACGTCGGTGGAACTTGGCTGGAAAATCGATATCCCGGGTGTACGTGCGACATACCATCTCATTCCTATCAGTTCACGTGGGCGAAGAATCCCAACTGGTCAAGGTATTACTCTGGATCGGAAGAGATCTGGCAATATATGAAGGACGTCGCAACCAAATATGACCTGGAGAAATACGTCCAATTTAAGACGACGGTCGAGTCAGCAACCTGGGACGAGGAAGCAGGGCTGTGGAGATTGCGTATCATTGCTCCAGACGGCTCTTATTTTGAGGACACATGCAATATCCTTGTCAATGGGTCAGGGGTCCTGAAGTGAGCAAGAGCCCGCTCTGACTTATCAGGAGCCACATCGTGTACTAACAGAAAGATGTCAGTGAGTGGAAATGGCCAAGCATTCCAGGTTTAGATGTGTTCAAAGGAAAGCTCATGCATTCAGCGAAATGGGACAGCAACTATGATCTGAAAGGGAAGACTGTGGCCGTGGTTGGCGGCGGATCGTCTGCAGTACAAATCATCCCATCGATACAACCAAGTAGGTGGCTCACCTCTTTGTGGGTCTTGGTTCATTGACACTGTCCCTAGCTGTTGGTAAGCTGTATGCTTTCTTGAGGTCTCCCGTCTGGATCACGACCGGGTTTGGTGCTAAGTACGCCGGGCCGGGCGGAACGAACTTCTCGTGTAGGACTTTCACTGAGGAAGTCTGAGCGTCGCTGATTGTTCGCAGACTCCGAAGAGCAGAAGGAAGAATGGAGAAAACACCCAGACAAACATGCCCAGTACTGTCGAGACGTTGAAGGTGAACTCAACAAGAGATTTACGTTGGTAAGTCCCCTCACTCCTGCAAGGCCGGCTCGTTTCTCTTACCTCATATTAGATGCATTTCAAGGCCAAAGATCAGAAAGCATCCCGAGACCTTGTGGCAGACATTATGAGAGAGCAGCTCGGCAATGATGAGACTCTGACCAAGCACTTGATACCACCATTCGCTCTTGGCTGCAGAAGAATGACCCCTGGGTCTGGATACCTGCAGTCATTGAGGGCAGACAACGTACAAGTCGTCCCGAAGTCTGCCATAAGATTGACAGAAACTGGTATCGTGGACGAGGATGGGGTTGAGCACGACGTGGACGTTGTCGTTTGTGCGACAGGCTTCGACACCTCCTTCACACCGCATTTTAAAGTCTTCGGTCGCAATAACGCAGAGATTCATGAGCAATTTGGCGACTTTCCAATAGGCTACCTCGGCATTACAGCTGAGAACTTCCCCAACCTGTTCCTTCTGATAGGGCCCAACGGACCGGCATCGCATTCGAGCATCCTACCAATCTTCGAGTGGTACACCCGATACATCTTCCAGGTCATTGAGAAGATTCAAACGGAACGCATCAAGGCTGTTGAACCCAAGAAAGAAGCCATCAAGGATCTGTACAACCACACCCACGAGCTGATGAAGAGACTGGTCTGGTCATCAGCCTGCCGGTCATGGTTCAAGAACGGCAAAACACATGGCCCGGTGACCGCCATCTACCCGGGCAGTCGACTGCACTTCTTCGAAATTATGAAGAACGTGAGGTGGGAGGACTACAACATCACGTACATGTCGGGGAATAGATTTGCGTTCATGGGCAACGGCTATACCCAGACAGAGGTGGACCCTGAAGGAGACCCTGTCTGGTATTTCGACGACCCGTTTACCAAGATTTAGAGGTTTTTCTTTGATAGCGAGGTTAGCAAAGGTTAAGCACAATACAGAAGAACTATGTGAGCGAAGCATCAGAGGAGGGAAAACGTTTCTTGCGGCGAATGCTAAACCGCTCATTGGACCCGGAGTGTTACCGCTGTCCGCGCGGCCATGCCCAAAGAGGGTGAGAACGTGATGCTGGGCCGCTGGGCTGCTGGTCTTGGAGAGGAAAGCCGTCGGCACTCTGCCCCGAGCTGCTGGGGGCTGGTCAGCAGCGGGCAGTGGGGTTGGCTGGCTGGGCAGTGGGTAGCCGCAGCGGCATGCCTCAGTTGCTCAAGGGTGGCCTGGAGCACTCCGTACTGGGTAGCCCGCCGTTGCCCGCTCGCCGCTAACACGCCTAAGCACGCTCACAACTTTTTGACTGACAGCGGCTGACTAACTCCAAGCGGGCAAGTACCCTCACCTGGGTGTCCCTGTTCTTACCAATGGCCTCTGCCCTGTTCTCCGCCGTTATAATCGCCTTTCGACTCATTCTCAGTCCTATGTACGAACCCTGCGCGATTGATCTCATGGCGACATTTTGGACAGTGCTGGGTTAGGGATATCGCATTCGCAGACGACTTTCCACTTCTCTCGCTCCCTACTTGACTACATTCCTATCTTGGTTTATACATTCTAGTTCGTCGTCCTTCACTCCCCAAAAATGTCCAAGCGGAGTTGGCAAGAGGCCGAACTTCCATCCCCACGCTCTGCTCCGGGTCCCAGTCCACAGAGAGCAACCTCTACGACGTCTCCTCATACATATACCTCTCCTGCGCAATCGGCCTCGCCAAAGAAACCTCGCAATTCCTTTGACGAGCCCAGTCTCATTGCCAAAGCCCCGTCCCGTCCACAACGGACCAATTCCACCACCAATGGAGCCACAGTGGACGCCAAGTTGCCCGGGATATCGAGAAAGGTCAAGGCGTGCGCAGCATGCCGCAAGCAAAAAGTAGGGCTTCAGCGGTTCTTCGGGGTTCGAGATAACTGAATAGACGTGTTGTGCAGATCAAGTGTATTATGATTGGAGACCCGCCGTGTCAACGATGCAAGGAACGAGGGCTATCGTGCCGCCTCAACAAAAGTCTGCAGACCCTCATGTCGGAGGATTCGAAATGGAAAGCCGCCGTCACAAAAGATGTTACGGCTCTGTACGCCGCCGTCGAGGAGATCGTTCGAACACTACAGCTGCCGTCTCTACCGCAGATGCTCGTTTCGACCCAAGATCCTGCCATCTTCTTCGACCAGGAAGAACAAGGTAATGATCCTGACGATGAGGATCAGTCTTTGGACAATTCGCCCAAAGTTACGCCAGTGGCAGACAATCTGTCACATGTGCCCATCGAATCGCTATATCAGATCACCGGGATGCGATCTCTAAGAGCATCTGAGAACATTACGGAAGATCAGTCACGAATATGCAAACAACTGCGAGATACTGACTTTATTGCAAGGGGCCTGGTGAAGCAAGAAGATGCAGAGCACCTGGCCAATTACTATCTCAGCAAGCTTGACCCCTATATTTGGCACATATGTCCGGACTACTCCGACTTGGAGTCCTTCCGACGCCGCTCGCCAACATTGACCGCGTGTGTTCTTACTGTCGCGGCTCTTCACGACACTAAGCTAGGTCACCTATACTCGGTTTGCAGCAAGGAGTATAGGAGATTGGTCGCTAATGCCATGTTTGAACGGAAAATCGACATGGAATATCTACGAGCCCTGGTTCTTGGATCGTACTGGCTGAGCGATATCTCCTGGACCTTGTCTGGCTATGCCATTCGCCGTGCCAGTGAATTTCACCTTCGACAGTACTATCACGAAATTGCAGAGTCTGTGAGATCGCCGGAAAAGGCTGACCCGACAAAGTTGCAGGAAGCCATGGATGGCATCAGAGTACTTTATCTGCTCTATATATGTGACCACCATTTGTCTATCCTCTATGGCCGATCGTCCATTATGCGTGACAACGAAAGCTACATCACTGGATGGGAGGCCTACCTGGCCTGCTCTCTGTCCACAGATGCCGACCGCAGAATTGCGGGGCAAATCTGCCTGATGTATCTGATGAACCAAATACGAGAGACTCTAGGCCCCGAGGATACAAGCTCGGTGTTGCCGGTCTCTGCTCTAACCAAGATTGCAGGCTTTGAGCGTGACTTGGATGACTGGATTGCTAGGTTCTCGAGGCATAGTAAGCAGTTTGGATTCGCGATTCCTTGGTCTGTACTAACGTCAATCCAGATCCAAGCCAATATATTGGCAACTGGCCCAACAAGGGTGCAGTCATGCATTATCACTGGGCCAAGCTCTATCTCCAATCATATGTCCTTCGAGGACTACCTGAATCCGGGGCTGTTATCCCAGAGCACTTTTTGGAGAATGCTTCAGCCGCAGTTGCTGCCGCGACTGCCATCATCAACCTTCTCCTAGATGACAAAGATGCGCAAATAGCCATCGCCTATGTTCCGCACCATATCCACGGCATGATCGCATTTGCATGCATGTTTCTTCTGAAAATCGCAACAAAGCATAGCGAGCAGCTGTTCTTGGACACGGTTCGCTTTCAAAGGCTCATCAATGCACTGGCACAACATTTCAAGTCAACGGACGTTGGTAAAGATCATTTGATCCACAGAATGGCTGAGGGACTCGAAAAGATGGCGGAGACCTTGGGAGGGCCAGCACGGTCAAAGAACCGTGTAAGGGTCAATGGAGAGCGCTCAAGTCAGTCATTAGCATCCCCGAGTCAACCGGTCGATACGACGGTAAACCTGGGCAAGGTCACCAATGGGCAGACGGATGTACCTGACTATGGCTCGCTGGATCCAACTGCCTTTGATTTTGGAGATCCTGCTTTGGGGCTGGGCATGCCGTTCTTCGATTTCGAGGGGACGACGCTGGATGCTGGGCAAGCCATGTGGAATTTCACGTAAGAAATAGGACAAGTGTGACGAAACACGAGCTGTTCGATTTCATAGCAAAGTCGATGAATCTTGAGATTTTCTCTTCGAATGCTCCCTTTGCTCTACCGAGTACTCGGGGGCCGATTTGGTCTGGCCAATGAGCTGTCGTGTAAAGAATTCTGTCCCTTTTAGGTATAGCGCATGTTCGGGAAGATCTGAGCTCCAGAAACTCCCAAGCACCACGAAGTCGCCTGCGTTCAAAGCTCATTTCTACTACGACAAACAGCTGCAGCTGCCACCGCTCTCCTTCCCTTGATCAACCCTCTGCAATGGCGTCTCAGCGGCTGGCGCTGAATCTTCAGCGGTCCCTTCGAAGCAGACAAGCTCTTAATGCCATTCAGTCTCCTCTCCGCCGCTACGCCAACCCCGTCACTCCCTCCAGAACCGAAAGCACCACTCTTTCGAACGGCCTGACGGTACAACTCTCGACTCCTGCGGCTCAATGGCTTGAGGTAACTGACAGGGGCACTTAGATCGCGACCGAGCATTCGCCATGGGCCCAGACCTCCACTGTCGGTGTTTGGATTGATGCCGGGAGCAGAGCGGAAACAGACAAGACCAATGGAACCGCACATTTCTTAGAACATCTTGCTTTCAAGGTGAGCAGTGAAACAAGAAGACTCGAGCGCAGGGACTAAATGGAACTGCAGGGCACTGGCAGGCGAACCCAACATCAACTAGAGCTCGAGATTGAGAACATGGGTGGCCACCTGAACGCATACACTTCGGTACGTAGGGCTACGCTTTAGCTTCCATATGTTACTAAACCAATCCGGCAGCGTGAAAATACCGTTTATTACGCCAAATCCTTCAACTCCGATGTTCCCAAGACCGTCGATATTCTTTCCGACATCCTCCAAAACTCCAAACTCGAGCCTGCAGCCATCGAGCGCGAAAGAGATGTAATTCTCAGGGAACAGGAGGAAGTCGACAAGCAATTGGAGGAAGTGGTGTTCGACCACTTGCATGCAACAGCTTACATGCATCAACCTCTCGGCCGCACCATCCTCGGACCCAAGGAGAACATTGAGACGATTTCTCGACAAGATCTGGTTGATTATATTACCACCAATTATACCGCCGACCGTATGGTCCTTGTCGGCGCAGGTGGTATCCCTCATGAGGAATTGGTCAAGCTGGCCGAGAAACATTTCGGACACTTGAGATCCGCTCCGCCGACACCTTATGCCGCCGAAGTTGCCGCCGAGCAGAAGCGTAAACCCAACTTCATTGGCTCCGAAGTCAGGATAAGGGACGACACGATCCCCACCGCACACATTGCCATTGCCGTTGAAGGTGTTTCCTGGAAAGACGACGAGTATTTCCCGGCCCTAGTTACCCAGGCGATCGTAGGGAATTGGGACCGGACGATGGGCAATTCCCCGTACCTTGGCTCAAGACTCAGCACATTTGTGAATGCAAATAACCTGGCCAATAGCTTCATGAGCTTCTCCACGAGCTACAGCGATACTGGGTAAGTCTTTGCCTGTGGCCCCCAAACCTCCACTATTCTTGCGACTGCAAATGTCAAGAGGCTAACCATGACTTTCTACGTGGCTGATGCAGACTATGGGGAATCTACCTCGTTACCGAGAACAAGACCCAAATCGACGACCTTGTTCACTTTACCCTGCGCGAGTGGTCCCGCCTCTCCTTCAATGTGTCCGAAGCAGAGACCGAACGCGCCAAAGCCCAGCTCAAAGCCTCCATCCTCTTGAGCCTTGACGGCACAACGGCCGTAGCAGAGGACATCGGACGACAAATCGTCACGACTGGCAGGAGAATGGATCCCGCGGAGATTGAGCGCGTGATCGGCCAAATTACAGCAAACGATGTGATGCGGTTCTGCCAGAAGAAGCTTTGGGATCAGGACGTTGCGGTGAGCGCGGTGGGTAGTATTGAGGGCTTGTTGGATTATAATCGGATCAGGAATGATATGGCGCGGAACCTGGCATAGGTGGAATAAGATGAGTAGACGGAGTAGGTGGTATGGTCGGAGAGAAGAGATGATGCGTGAGTATGGTTTGCGGGCGAAGCGAGTCGAGAAAGCAGAGAGAGAAAAAGGGGCGAAGTGTTTTGACGAGCATCTCTGATCGATGGTCAGCGATCTAGTAGTTCTAGAGGCCTAGGTAGTGATTTGTATTGTACAGTGCACATGGCATAATCCGCACAGAAGAAAAAAGGGATTATCAAGTTGAAACAAGGGGGACTCGTCTCACATTCATGGTTTTCTTCATCTCAAGTCCTTCAATGATATCCGTTCATCTCATTGCATCCCTTACGGACACAGGAGGACAGGGCTCTAGATTTCCTTGCCGTTGGCCTACATAGTTACAGACACTACAGCTCCTTAAGCCCGTGCATATGTATTCAGTAATTGGATGATTTTTTTTTCCTTTCCCCATCATCCTAAAGGCCCTCTGAGGTCTCGGCCTGAGGCTCGCTCGACGCTAGACCTTGACCTTCAAGATGGCCTTTCCAAAATTCCGCCCCTCGAGCATACCGGCGAACGCCTCAGCGGCAGCCTCCATGCCGACGTCCTGGTGGATCTTCGCCTTGAAGCTGCCCTCGCGCAACCACCGCGCGACGTTCTCTTGGTGCGCTTTCGCGTACTTGGGCCCCATGTTGGCGTCGCCGACCATGAACCCCGTCATGGTCAGCCGCTTGACCACGCACAGGAACGTGTTGCGGATCGGGTACCGCTCCGACGGCGGTAGGTTGTATTGTGACACCTGGCCGCATTCCACGATGCTGTGTGGTGGGGGAGATGGTTAGTCGGTCAATGCCTTGGATGAACGAAACGGGGAGGAATGGAATCTTTCAGGGGGTTGAAGGACTACTCACCGTCCGAACAGATTCAACATCTCCATCGCACCGTCCAGCTGCTCGCCACCGACGTTGTCGTAGAAGATATCGATGCCTCCCTCTCCATTGCCGGGTTCTTCGGGCATTTTCTCCCCCTTCTTCTCCTTGTACTCGCGGACCAGACGCGCAATCACCTCCTTGGTACTGGGCTCCTTTTTGTAGTTCCACCCGCCGTCGAACCCCAGCTCGTTGACAATAAAATCCAACTTGTCGTCGCTGCCCACCGACCCAAAGACGGTCAGGCCTTCGTGTTTCGCCAACTGGCCGACCAATTGCCCTACTGCACCCGCAGCGGACGATACAAGAATGATATCTCCACGCTTCGGCTTGCCGATCTCGTACAGTGACGAGTACGCAGTGAGGCCCGGCATGCCCAGAGCGCCCAGGTAATGTCGGAGGTCGAGACCGGGGTCGTCCGGGTTGGGGATCTTGAACGGTCGCTCCCATTGCGCCTCGCCCTCCCTGGGCGGCTTTGCCACGTACACGTTGTACTGCTGCACGGGCAGCACCAGCCTCACCACGTCTCCCTCGGCATAGCCCTCGAGGTTTGAGCGGAGAACGCGCGACAGAGTTGCCGCGGCAATGGGACTTCCCAGCGGAATGGCGGGCAGGTATGACTTAACCGAGGGATCCCGCAAGAGGCCCCGGAGGTATGGGTCGAAGCTCACGTAGAGTGTTTCTAGAAGCAGGCCATTGGAAGGAAGGGGTTGGTCCAGGTCGAAGGGGCCGACATCTTTGACAGCAATGTGTTCACCAGGCACGGGGTTCCGGTCGGGGACTTTGGTGAAGACCAGGGCGAGATTTTTGGTGGTGTGGGAGGGCATCTTTGCAACAAATCAAATTGACCAGCTGAGTGTGCTGGTTTGAGTCGAATGAAAAGAGCCAGGGGTAGTGTTATCGAAGATCCGGTGAGGGTCAGGAGATGTTTGCATACAAAGGATTCCGATCGAATGGGAGGGAAAGGGAACAAGATATATAGATATCTAATATAAACACATATACAGGGTTATACTCCACCCGGCGAACCTAGCAGTGGTATGTAAGAAAAATATGCGGGCAGCGATGAGGTAGATCGGATGCCCTAGCTTCGAATCAAGGGGCGCTTTGTCATCGTTCTGGGGTGTTTGTGTTGAAGACAGTGTGTGGTGAGTGGATGTGCATGCATCCTTTGCGTCATCAAAAGTTTCATCGAGGGGAAAGGAAAGGCAACGGGAAAAGAAAATGACAAACAGAACGGTCGAGAAGTGTCCAGGTTCTTTTGTCGGGCGGCTGAGGACTAAGGGCTGGCGGATCCGACACCAGATACGGCGGAGAATCGAGTGTACAAGTATGTAAGGTCTTACCTAGGTAGGTAGGTAGGTAATAGGTAATTCTAACAATGGCCAAACCTGTTCCTTGATGGAGGAGAGAGAAAGACCAAGTAATAAGAACGCCCGAGCCATGTCCGAATGCGGCGGACTTGGCATCGTTTATCCTGCGGGCTTATGTGATTTGGCCACTAGGAGCTGCTCGAGGGGGGTGGCGACGAGTCTATCCCATGCAACACGTTGGAATTCAAATCCCAGTATTTGCCGTCACAAGTCTTGCACAAGACCATCCAAGGCCCATAGAGAATCGAAGGGCGGGCAAACTGTGTATTTCTATCACTGGGGTCGTATCTATATCATATATGCATTTCTCATCGCTGTGGACTGTTCATGGGATCCTCACGACAAAGTCCCGTTCCATGTCACGCAGCTCCATCACCACAAGTTCGTCTTGCCGGACACAAGCCAGGCAAGAAAGTGTTCACATTCGTGTCGCTCGTGACCCCTCGTCTCCGATCACAAATCTTTCAGAGAACCAACGAGGCACGCCGGCCGCGCTGTTGGGTGGTTTCGTCTCATCCGTCTGGAGGCAGGAAATGGTTTCGCGTCGAACGTTGCCCGGCCCATTGGTGTCCATCTCTAACCCTGATGGCACCGCGTACTGCACAGCCCTGTCCCAATCTCTGAGATGCTCGTACGGACTCCTCACCCATGCCTCCAGTTCATGCAAGAACAACCGAGTATTGTCCCGTCCTAGAAAATCTTTCAACAACTCCTCCGCTTGTCCTGCGCTGCCCTTCAAATCAATCGACTTCAAAATACCAATGATGTACTCGAGTAGGAAATCAGCGTTGCTGGCCCGACGGTCGCTGGATCCAGGACGGGAAGATTGGGTAGAGCTAGGGTCGAGGAAACTGAAGACCTGAAGTTCACGTCTGATCCACACCCGCGCTCGGGATGTCAGGCGCTCGTCTGTTGTAAAGGATGAAGGCGTGACATTCCGATATCGCGAGATCCGATTCGTGCCAACATGGAGTGAATAGAGTCCCTGCCGGTATACCTGTCTGCGAAACTCGAGGGCGGCGTCTTTCGATGCTTCAGATCGTGCGTCTCTTGCGGTATTGTAGTGCCCGCCTCTTGCATACGGTCGACCGTATCTTAATCGTCGCTGCCGAGTAGCGGCGGTGGCAAGCCCACTCGAACTTCGGCCGGCTTGCGCATTTTCAGGAGGAAGGTAGAACACTTGACTCCTTTCCTTATCGCCGTCGCCGACGTTAAATCTGATGGCGGTGACGTGGCCCTTGCACAGTGGGCACACTTGCTGTCGTTGCAGCCATGTCCCCAGGCACGGGAAATCGAATTGGTCGTGGCGGCAGGGTAGGGCAATCGCTTTGTCAGAGATGTGGTCGAGGCAGATGACACACTGTTCTGGCGGAGGCAGTAGGGGCTCTGCAATAGGTGATGGTGCCGTGGTTGAGCCCGCAGGCTCACGGTGATCGAGTGCTATCTCATTCTTCGAGGATTCTGCTGCCATCAAGTTGTGCGGAGGCAAGAAGGAAGCGCAGTGAGGGCCGACGCGGTGACGAAATCAACCTCCCACATATGCTCCGCCGAAGTTTCAAATGACTGACCCCATATGAAAAGGGGTCTAGCCTTGCCAGGCCTTGCACTCGTGCTGGGAGCCTCAGGACCTTCTTGCCCAGGGAGCTTGTCGATGCCAGGACCTTCGCAATCGCAGATGCCTTGGCCCGATTTGAGATGTTTTTGGTTGTTACGTTCGACCTAGCTAAAGATATTTTGACTATGAGAAGCTATTTTCCCATCAATCAAGATTGCTTGCTTGACCCTTGCTTCCATCTCATACCGTCCATCAAACATTTTCATCCCCTCGGTTGCTGTGAACAGCCGCGGCTTCCTCTTCCTGTTTCTCCGTCACTCTCGCACCGTCATTATTCGCATCCGAGACGGTTGCCGCCCTATTCGGCTTCCGAGATCTCAGTGGTCTCCCATCCGCGACGGCGACGGCATCGGCGCCCATGACCTTCACGCCCACTCCACTCAACTCTGGCGCCCTTTTCAAGTATTCAGCCTTCTGAGGCACTCTGCCGCCAGTATTCCCAGAGTGGTACAGTCGCTTAACCGCGTTCATCAGCAGGCGTATGACGTGGATCTTGAGGCCGTATCGCCCTGCGGCCCACATGGCGATGAGCGTGAGTGTGATCGAGACAAGTTCTGTCGTGGCTGTTACACCATAGCATCACTCAATCCATCAGCCAAGATGCCCCTCTCGAGCCTGCACCATTGTTAGATGAGGGAAGAGGAAGACAACTCATCAGCCCATGTCCCAGTATAGTTCGTCGAGTGCCCGTCCTTCTGATTCTCATGAAATCGATGAATAGGTAGCGCGAACAGACTCGGAACGAACGATAGCAGTGCAAAAATGACGGCGACGAGCGTGAACCGAAGACGGCCGCGCTCATGATGGCCGTCGCGTGTGTCTCTTGCAGGGCGACGTACTTCTGCTTCAGATCCAGACGGGTGTTGATTGACTCGAGGACGCGCTAGGCGTCCTCTTCCTGGTTCGCCACGGGACGCTTGTGCTTGCGGAACTGTGCTTGGGCTCGCACTATCCGTTCCCAATTCGAATTGCTGGATGGACCGGCGAAGCGCCCCTCCAATCCGTTTGGCCAATGCTGCGGCCAGGTGTGGAGCATGTAGTCGTTCCAAACTTCCTCTTGCAGAAAGATGATGGACTTGATCATCGACACTCTTCACGGATATCGCCAATCTCGTGGAAGTATTGGATCTCTTTCTCAATACTGATATCTTCGACTTCCACTTGCTTGACATACTCGCCGACTTCTGCTGATATAATGGTGATCGAGTTTTCGTACGTGTTGAGAATCGGTTCTGGCAACCCAGCCATCGACGGGCGGTCGAGAAGTCCTACCAGGCGAGATAGCAATAACGCGATTTCAATGTTGTTTTCCGCTCGTAAAGCCTGTCAACACCCATCCAGGAAAGAAAGTCCGGGCCCTCGTGGATTTCCTCGTGGACTTTCTTGGCCTCTGCGAGAATGTCCTCTGGAAATGCTGCAATTCCTGACCTGCCCGAATTTCCAAATCCACGCTTGGTGGACCGTGAGAAGTCTTGCTGAAGAGGGAACCGCACATTTTTGCTCGTGAAGCGTTGCGTGGACGTAGACAAGTCCTGAGGCCGATACCGCCCAATAAGTCCATCTTGGCGCCCAACCAACGTAGACAAAGATTGTACTCAATCTTGAAGAGCTTTCTAAGATGGCGAGAAATGTAGGACGTTAGAATTTCCTAGAAAGCGAACCCGAATTAGGACGCCAGTGGAGAATACTCGCCGTGGTCTACATCTTGTCTATTTCTTCCCCCTTCGTCCCTTAGCGTCTTTGCTTTATTTGCGTATTTGGTCTCTGGTCTACGTCCTAGACATCCTAATAAGTTTAGTACGCGTGAAGGCTCTAACACGTCCTGATGATCGAGTTCGGCCTTAAGATGACGGAGGAATCTAGTGAAAGACTCTTCTAGTAATTTAGTCTTTTCACCAAATTTCACATTCTATCTAAATGCCTAGAGAGTTGAGAATGCTATTCGCCTTACATGTCTAGGTTTAACATCGTTAAAGACTCCTCCGGTCGTGGTGTGATATACCGACGAGATCGACTCGTTATAATTTTAGGAACAGTAAAAATGCACCGGGTCGTTCTTCATCGCGATAGATATATGGCGGGTCCTTGACCATTAGATATACTTCTAGGCTTGTTGTGGTACGCCGAAGACTTGGAGCTATTCGGCAGCAACTTGGTCAGTTCACCGACGTTGAGGTTAATGCTCCTTCCGGGCATATCATTCGACATGGCTGGGCAAACAAGAATCCCTGGTCGTTAGCAACGCTGGAAGACGTCAGCTTTGGTCTAGTGGAATGAAACAATCCCTTCGCCGGTGTCTGAAGCACGGCGCGGCCCATTAAGTCATGTAGCCGTTGATTATGTTCTCACCTCTGCGCCCATGTTCAGGCAAGCAGTCTTCTGGAAATCCACTCTAACTCGTGCCGCGACCACCGGCACCTTGGAACGACACAACCCACTCCACCCGAGCGAACTGGAGTCGCGGAAGAAAGAGACTCTTCCGATGCTGGCCAACACTGGCACAACCTCTTCCTGCAACTGCCCAGTTACGCGTTATTCAACGCTACCTGCATCACCACCTGTGAGTATTGCGTGGAGCACACAATCATCGCAAGCTCCGCAACATGCCGCTGACACGACGTTCACCCATCAGTGAACCGCGCTTAATGTACAGCTAAAACAGCTAATGCACGCTTCGGCAGGGGCTCACTAGGCTGCGCTTTGTGAAACAGCCCCCAACACGGTCGGCAGGGCCAGTCGATCCTACGCGAACGGCTCGGATTCCTCGCGACGGAAGCTATGGCGTCAGACGAGGGTTGACTCTACTTGTTAGTTGCCGATAGACCCAAACTACCTAGACATGGATCTATCGCCGTCCTCATGCCCAGCATTGGTATATCCCGCATCAAGGCATCTTCGTTCTCACGATCGCATTCTCAAGGTATCTAGTTGTTAGCTCATGAAGGGGGACTACAAAAAGACCCAGGCTAAGAGACAACCGGGGCCACTTAGAGAAGCCACAGGAGACATTGAAGTGTCCCATTGCCAGGGTGCTAAGGAGCATTTGCGACCCTGACAAGGCCGGGTTCGCTACACGCCATGGCAATACGTGCGACGCCTCTTGCTCCTTCAACTGCTTGGATACTGCCTTGCTATCCGCCTCGACGTACGTCAGCAGCCATTTTTCCAACCTGGTGGCCTAGCCCCAGCGCTCTGCCTCCTTGATAAGTCGCGTTGTCTTCTTTGGAAATGCGAGTTGCATATAAGGGCCAGCTTGCCCTCCACTGACTGCTTCCACCTCTGTCAACGAGAACGCCCACCTCGCCACCAACATGATTGATCCAGAGCTTTCAGAATTCTACGCGAAGTTGTACGATCGTCCGTTGACCGAGCCGAAAGACGAACAGGATGTCAAGAACATCCTCACTTGCATTAGAGCCGGGCACGGAGATCTCGATGATGAAGATGATGATCAACTACGGAAGGCGGGCTCGGAAATTTTCCGGAAGAAGATTACTATGATGGCAAGCAAGTCACGCAAGGTGTTGGCTCAATTCACCAAGATGTAGGTAAATCTTTGGGCTGGGAGGCGTCATTCTCATTGTCACTTTTAGGATCTCCAGCCAGCTTTATGACGACCCTTTTCGGTTCTTCTATGAGCTCCTCCAGAATGCGGATGACGCCCGCTACCTTCGATGTGGCGAGACACCTACCATTAGTTTTACCGTCTCCCAAACAGAACTCATTGTCGACCTCAACGAAGACGGCTTCTCCTTGTCGGACGTGCTGGCAATCTGTAGCACTGGTGAAAGCTCCAAGACTCTTGATCAAAACACCACGGGAGAAAAGGGGTTTGGTTTCAAATCGGTCTTTGGAGTGGCAGACCAAGTGCACATTACCTCAGGAGTGTGGTCCTTTCGCTTCAAGCATCAACGGGAGGAAGATGGGATCGGCATGATTCAGCCCTACTGGGAGCCTGGCGAGCAACTGCCGGAAAATGTTCGTACCCGCTTCCGCCTTCAACTTTCGTTCAGCGAAAAAGACGGACTGGAGACTCTTTGCGCCCAGATGAGATCTTTGCACCCAAGTATTATCTTTGCTTTACGCAAAATCAAGAAGCTTTCCATGCACTTCGAGGTTGCTGAAGCCGGAAACCGGACGGTCTCTTTCGAAAAGTCTGTCGATGTGGACCGAAATATTATGACGATCGTTTCCCGAGAGGATGCAAAAGCCGCAGAGTACTTCTACCGAGTCCTCGACGGAAAAGCGTCGGACATGCCTCGACACGCCGAGCGCACCCAGACAACCTCTAATGTCACAATTGGTCTGCCAATCTCAGCCCCAAACGATGGCTCCCCGCTCCTCAGCGAAGCAGGTCAATTTGTCTTTGCCTTTCTGCCTATCGTGCAGATAAAAGAGCTCCCTTTTCTGGTACAAGCAGACTTTATCCTGACTGGCAGTAGGCAAGCCATTTCGGACAACGCCTGGAACAAAGCGTTGAGGAACAAGATTGCGGCCCTATTCTGTATGCTCGCAAAGAGACTGGCTCTTGAAAAAAGTAAACTGTCTTATGAGTGGCTTGCTTATATTCCACTTCAGCCCATGGTCGGATTTTTGCGGCCTCTATCGGCTTCAATACGGCAGATATTGTCGGAGCAAGAGTTGTTCTTTTCGGTGGATGGTTCCTTGCACAAGCCGGGACGACTTCGCATCCTGACTTCCGATTTCACCCATCAGTCTGAAGCCCTCATGTCAGATTGCAAACAAGCCTGGCGTTTCTTGTCAAACAAATACAAATCATCCAATCACCCAGCGTTGCTTGAGCTTGGCGCTTCGAGGCTGAACTTCGACGACGCTTTCGACCTTATTGAAGGTGATCTCCAGAGTAATGACTCGCGTTTACGCTCTCGACCACTGCACGATGCCTGGCATGACACATTCATGACATTCATCAAAAAAGGGCTAGCCCTCGGCAATGTGGGCTACAGGGAAAGAATCCACGACATGCCTATCATCCCTGTCCGGGTTGATGGAGCGCTGGAATGGCACCGCCCGGGACTAAATATCTTCTTCCCCCACGCGGTCAACGAAGGCACTGGTCCTGAATGTATCGTCATCGAGATGCCCACTGATATTGACCTTGTGGTCCTTCAGCCGGACGCAGCTGCAGCACCCAAACGACGTGAGGTGTATCTGACCCTGGGAGTCCAACAGGCCTCTGGTGCCGCGATCTGCACTGCTATTACCAAAGCAATGACAAAGTCCGGGGCTAGGTATAACTCTGACTTATTGCGTTCGTTGGAACTCTTGTTTTGGTTTTCTTACCAGCCTTTGACTCTTCGAGACAAGCTCCAAGCCTCGACGTCTGGAGGCGTCTATGGGCCTACAAAACTGTTGTTTATGCGTTCACGTGAGCAATACCATGCAGAATGTCTGGTACGCCTGGATGAAAATCCAGACTATGGCAAGCACTTTTTGAACGAAATTTATCAGTCTTCCAAGGTCGCAACCAGATCACGTGGCGGCAAGACCTGGGAACAGTGGCTGATTGAAGTTGCTGGTGTACGTTGGTATCCACCTCTTGAAGATCTCTCAATTCGCGGGAAGTTACACTGGATACTCGATGTCGTTCATGGCCGGGATTCGATTCTGTTCTTATCTCTGATCCAAACTTATTGGGCGCAAGAGTACAGCAGTACGTGTCGGTTTAACCCAGAGCTGGTCGAAGTGCTCCGAAAGTGCCAAGTGCTCTGTAAACACGGCGGAACTGAAGAGCTTTCAAAATGCTGGTTTCCAGCCAAAGACATTCTGGACGTGGCGCAGTATTATGGCGTTAAAAACAGACTACCGATCCTTTCATTGCCTGATCCTCCTCAGGAACATCTGATCTCCGATTGGCCAGCCTTGAGAGATTTGGGTATACGTTACAGGCTTGACTTACAGTTTTATCGCCAAGCGATTTCACTGCTTTCTGCAACAGGACAGCGACCGACAGTCGGTTCAGTGAAACTGGGATGGCTTTACAAAAATATGGCTGATCGAGTGACTCTAGAGGATCTAAAGACTATTCAGGTTTGTGGTGATATGTTGACTGATACCCTTGCTAACAACCGCCAGGACGATTTCAAGAACGGCGCTCTCATTTGGGATCTAATTGGCAAGGTGTGGCGAACCATGGATCAATGTGTATGGGAGAGCCGCATTACACTCCATCGCAGGTTTGTAATTACTTCGGCATATGAGAAGGCCACGGTCTCCGGCCTATTTGAAACGCTTCTACAAGTCCCAAGCGTATCGATCGAATGTTTGATCGAGGAGCTTGAGTATTTGAGGGACTCACGTGGGCCCGAGACTAATGCGGAGTTGCAAACCACTGTTTCAAAAGTGTATAACTATCTGGCCGATATGAACGCCACCATGGAGCAGAGGGAGACTATCAGGTTGGTCGACTTCACCGTGAGAAGGATGCACATGCTGACAATTGTAGGTGTTCTTTCAAGGAAAAGCATCTGATCTATAATCCTCGGAGCAATGACTGGTTGCAATCGAAATCTTGCGTTTGGCATTCTACCATGGACATCAGCAACCATGTTCCAATTGCCGCAACCTATTCAGACTTGCAAGAGTTCTTTATAGAAGTCCTTGGGGTCCAGACCGTCACTCCAATGTTCATGATGAAACAGCTCGCCGCAGCTGCCAAAAGTAGCACAAAGACGGTCGACAACATCAAAAAGCTTATGCTAGCTGTTTCCGAGTTGCTTGACATGGGCAGCAATGGATCACAATTCAGGAGTAGCATGGAAGTACTTGACGAATGCGCCTACTTGCCTTGCAGATTAATCGCTGGGGCTACCGAATTCCGTTCGAAGTCGCAATCATTTTTCATTGTTGACAATGAAACCTACGCCAATGAGTTTGGAGACCAGCTGGTCATGCTCAATTTCACCTATGAAGAAGTGAACTCTTTACACAAGCTGATTCGGCTTCTTGGTCTAGACGGCCACTATCTCGCACGACATGTGCAATCGGAGACCTCCGCCCGCGTTTCGACACCGAGCGATACCCTCATGGCTCGGTTTCGTGAATGCGCCTATCCTATTTCATGGTAATGACCCGAATTTCTCGTGGTCGGAACAGGAGCTGATCATGCTGCTGCAGTTGTGCCATATCGCACCGAAGTGCACTATTCTCAAATCAGAGCAGACTCCTTTATGACGCCCTTGCAAATGCGATCATTCACACCTCCTCTGAGATGTTTACCTACCTTGTCGTCATGCAAGACGAAGGTCCAGTCAAGGTTCCCACATCCAGACCTTCTCTAATCACGAAATACGAACAAAATAGGCTTGAAATCACCCTTCCGGCTGGAGAAAGAGAAAGTAGGCAGTGCATGCGCTCGCAACTCCCAGGCTATATCACTGCAGACCTCCTCGACATCTTTGACTCTAGGGCGGAGAAGCAAATATATCGAATCCTCAATGAGCTGGGGACCGGCACAGACGACATTCTGTTTGAGGAGGGTATCTCACGAGTGTCATGGCTGCCAGAAACACGTCGTCCAGCACCTATCCCACCACTTATAGCTCCGCAGACCTCAGACTTGGCCGATGGCGAACCAAACCTTCTCACTAGCGCTGTTCAAACAAATGGCGCTCTTCCAACTGATGAAACGTTCGTGTATGCCGCTGCGACATTCCCTACAAACTACCGACAGCCATATCGAGCTCTACCCATAGAAGATCCAGCACCAGATTACTGGAAGGTGATCGAGCATGTCCACAAACAAGCGTCGAAAATTGGAAACAGGTTTCACCGGCGCAATGACGAGGCTCTTAACTTGGACGATTTGGCCGCAGAATTCGCTGGTCTTGTGCTTGGCCACACCATAGTCGACCCTAACGACTGTCCAAACCTATTTGGTAATGACGTGCGGCTCAGCAAATTCAGATTGGGCGCGGCCGGTGAGCTTTTTGTGAGCTAACATCTCCTACTTCTCAGGCACAACGCGTTCGTTAACCTAAATATACAGGTATACGAAGTCCTCAAACACATGCTGGGCGATGAATTCGGACTGCCAAATTGGCAAAGCAACATTCGATATCTTGTGCAAGCACATGAATCCTACAGACACGTAACTCGGCGGAGTGAACCAGAGACGGCCGATATTGTGTTCTGCGACCAGGGCAAGAATCTCGAATTTCAATTCTCACACTCGGCGAACGCGGTGAGCGATGTATTCCAGGGTTGGTATCCGACATGGTACCAAGATTCAGACAATCGGTCGCAGGTAATGTTATCCAGCGCGTGTTTCTGATGTCTTTACGCTGACAGACCCAAGACACCTCTGGAATGGCTCTTTGAGGTCAAAACTACCCTTGGGCCCTGTGAGACTGAGTTCTGCATGAGCCCGAATCAATATAACATGGTGAGTGAAATCCATGAATGCTGCATCAGCACATGTGCTGTTGTCAACGGTCATCACCCTACAAGAAATTGAGGCCAACTGCGGTTCGACAGATGAGAGAACTTGGAACCCAAGAGGATAGCGAGAGAAACCGAGTCTACTGTATCGTTCGCGTGTACAACCTGCTTAGCGACAAAATTGGTGTCAGAATCTACATCGATCCATGGCGTTTCAGAGAGGGACGACTGGAATTCGGTACGACGGAGAAGTGGAAAGTGAAGCCTGTGGATTTAAGTTGATGGATTTCTCTGGGCCGACGCGCAGTTCCAGCCGCTCCGTAGAATGATGGCGTTGTAACCATCAGAGTTCAATCAGATGCTGTGCCTAGCGTAGTTTGCCGGTGTTGAATACCATCTGCGCCGGAAACACAGGTCGTCTGTCAAAACAGGCGTCCCAAGACGTCGTTTCCAAGTTTCAAACTTTCTCGAGCATTTCCTTCGCCTCCAATGCCCGGTCGTACGTGGCGATGTAGTGGCTCAGCTCAGATAGTTGCTCTGGGACCAAAGTACGGTTTGATATGTTGCCTCTCATCCCTGCCATGCCGAGCATGACTGGTGGCTAAAACATGAATCTTTGATCTTTGAAGCTGACCTTGCTCTGGTCGGAAGCCCATGGAGCCACAGCCAGGACACCCGATCCCCTTCTCGGGCCTCCTGAGGAAGGTGCTCGGCTTTATTCACAGGGAAATGTTGGTGTCTATACCTGCCGCTTTCCTTTCCTTGTCCTGCGCACCACCATTAGGCTTCATGTTATAAATTGAGGTACGGAGTCTGTGCGGAGTGCTTTCTATCACGCATACGATGGCACACGACGAGTGTGACTGGGTGGGTGTCAAGAATATGTCCCTGGCGTAGTTGTTTGGTCGCTCACCCCGCTCGCTCTACTCGCCATGACCCGCGCGAGTCGGGGCGGAGCAGAGGGCGGCATCATCCTAGTGACCCTGGGCCTATGGACCGAAGTCCTGGGCGTACTAACCCGATCCGATCCGGGGTGGGCGGCGAGCAGTTGCATCAACATTTTGTAGCCTCTATGCACAAAATACGACCCTCAAGCGCCCCCAACATGTCCCTGTGTTTTCCCAACCAGTCATCAGGATTTATTCAATCAGTTCCGTCGTGTTCAAAAGGTTGCCCGGTTGCACAGCCAAAACAGCTTGCGATGAAACAAGAAGACATCTCCATCGCATTATGCCTTCCATCGCATCCGTCGCCATCCAATCCGCCATTCTCAAGGCCGCGGCAAATCTCACAGCCCAGACACTCACCATATGGAACGCGCAGTCACACATACCACTCGACTGGGCCCGTGTCGTCGAGTTTGCAGCCTTTGGCACGATATCCGCCCCGCTAGCCTCGCTATGGCAGCGATTTCTCGAAGATAGTTTCCCGGGCCAGCAGAAGGTCGATGTGGGATACTCGAGTTCTCGGACAGCCAATGGCTCTCTCGACAACGCTCCCGATGCCAACGGAAAGACCGTGCCAAAGCCTCAGCTGAACTGGCCCAATATCTTCATCAAACTGGTTCTGGATCAAACAATCGGCCAATTCCTCATCAACGTTACGTTTCTGATCTGCACGAACAGCGCCCGACTCCAGAGCTGGTCCTCGCTCGTCCAAGAGATCCACCTGCGCATCTTTGGTGTCATTTGGGCAAGCTGGACAGTCTGGCCCTGGGTGTCTCTGGTCAATTTCATTTGGGTGCCGGTGGAATGGAGAGTGCTTGTGGCGTCGTTGGTTGGGTTTGGCTGGAACATCTTTTTGAGCATTTTATCGATGAGAGAAAAGACATGAATGGTGCATTATTTTGGGGGGGGGGGAGAACCATGACTGACTGAAAGCAATGTAAATCTCTATACTCTGTAGGATTTGCAGCCCTCGAATCCGCCACACCCTTATTCCGACTTGTCAGGGTAATCTCTTCGCGGGAGAGACTCATGTGTATCCGTCTCAATGCTCTCTGTCTATCTTCCTGGATACTCAGAATGATCCCCCGGAGTGTCGAAATACTCATTTGGAGGATCGTGATATAAGCGGAATAGATGGGTGACGATTTCCCCCCCCTCGGTTCCCCGTTCTCCGTTCCTGGGCCCATGCACTCATCCCATGATCGCTCAGGATATTGCGAGTCACAAACGCAACAGCAAGCAGTAACAGAAATGCAATCAGTTGTACCAAGAACATGAACACGAACTTGACAGCAAATGTTCCCGTGAAGGGGCTAAGCGACTTGGCATGGTCGAAAGCATATACCACGCTGTAAATGGCTCTTACACCAGTGAAGATGCATGCCAAAAGCATCAGGGGCCCTGCAGTTCGCCGGTTCTGAAGAAGCTTGAGGCAGATATGACTGCACAGGAAAGAGACCGCAATCCAAGTGGCGAGGAGGATGACAGCTCCAGTTTCGAGCAGTGTATAGGCCGTGTTGATGTCTGATTGAGTGTTGTTGTCATCTCCGAGCTTCGCTCCGCCAGTTGCAAGTAGCGCAATGCCAGTAATCGCGCCAACATGAATGCCCGCCTCTTCAATCAGTGTTGCAAACTGACTTCTATTTGACGTCGCGTAATAGCCTCTTAACAATGTCAGCAAGCCAGCACAGGCAAGCAGCAAAGGGCTAAGGCCAACGGAGGAAACGATCGCCCCGGATGTGGATGGGTGAGAGTTATTGTGATCGCTGATTTGGATGCCTGCGGCGACAATGCGGAGGATATCAAAGGCAAAAAGGAAGAAGAATGTTGAAAGAGCGCGCCGACCATGCTTGTAATGCAACCAAGCAGTGAGTGGGAGGAGAACGACGTAAATCGCCAATTCCGCAATTGAGAGCTTTGTTGTTGAATCAAGCGCCATGACAGAGATCACCCAGATCCTCGGTCTCAAAATTTTCAAGGAGAAGGGCTTGGACTGAGAGAATTCGGATGCTTTCAGGGCCTCTGCTCTTGTCGAGGTCGAGCTGTGGGTAATTGGAGGTACGCTGGCCGGAAGATCTCAAGGCTCTTATAGCTGGGACACTTACCTTTGATTTCCACCATACCTGCAGTGTGTCAACAATCTGCAGGCCCAAGAAGGCCGCCAGGTTCAAGGGCGCCAACTAAAAGAGGCTTCCTGTTCGTAGCAAATACGATATTTGGGGCAATTCACGAGCGTCGATAGTCATGCAGCCGAGGATTGCAGAATGTGGATCCATCTGTTGCCGTGAAACTCCCTGATCATTACGCCACCAATGTTAGGCAGCAGCATTTTCAGGGCATGCAATGGATGTAAAGGAAAATACGCGGAACAAAACATGCTGGACCATCACAATCCGGCCCTGGGGTTATTGGATAGCAGTGTGGCTGAGGCGCCCTGCGCTCGAATTGCTGACCCGAAACAGAAAAGTCACTGATATTAGAGAACTATGGAACAAGCTCAGCTAAGCAACAAGGGGCGCTAACCTCAAAGCGATGTCCAATCAACGTCGTGCGCTGTTATGTCAGCCTCGGTAGCACATTCCCAGCCTCGCATCCCGCAGCCTTGCAACGAGCATAGCGAAGATTTTGTGTTGCACGTGCTCCAGCTCCGAGTGATATCGCGAGTGGGATTGTTCGTGCGAAAGAGAAGGGGGAGCTTGTGGCATTATCTCCTATCGGCATTCCTGGAATCTTTCCAAGATCTCCGTCTTCGGCGCAGCGGAGGGAACCGAGTGATAGCCGAAGACGTGAGTTGTTGGCAGAGGTGGTAGTTGAAGATTGCAAGACCGATGGCGCCTGTCACAGATGGACCTGATACCAAGCAGCGCGGCGAGACTTATCGACAAATATGGCACTGTAGTGTTCATGGAACCCAAATAAGTTGGAGGACTTTTTGTGATGGCTCAACGAAGTCGTGATCCAAGGTCGGTGGAGTATTGCTTGTACAAATCCTAGGCAAACGGTATATAAAGAGACTGATATCCAGCAGGCGTCTTGGTACATATAAAAAAGGGCCAACTCGCTCGATTGAATTTTGAATTTTTCCAGTCGCCTGCTTGACCCAATGCGTCGGTAGTTTGCCATCTAAATATGATATGCATATGCATGCTCCGCCATGCGCAATCATTATTCGTTTTGGATGCTCGAGAAAATAAACGCTAACATATCCGGGGTATCATACATAACACCTTGGTCACTATAAACACCGAAAGAAAACACAATACAACGCTACATAACAGCCTGCAATCAAGGTAACGTCAGCCACTGCCGCGATTAAAGCAAATGGAACTGAGAGCCGCCTTTCCATCGAGTGTGGAATTTCGACTCATGTAGTGGCAGAAGGAAACAGGGAATATAAGGGCCACTTACACATTCATTCTTGTCCTTCCCTGGTGGAACACCCATCTCATCAAACGTCTTGGGTCCCTTTCCAGGGGGCCTTGCCGCGTTCGCAGGAACAGAGCTCGGTTTGGAAGGTGGGGCGCCACCCGTTGGTGCATTGAAGTCAGGTTTTGAAGGAGGGAGATTCGCGGGCCTCACATTGGGTGGGGCTTGCATTTGGTTGTTGGAGAGAGGTCGGACGTTGGGATTTGGCATGCCACCGTAGCCACCAGCGTTCGGCCCCGGCCCCACTCCAGGGCGAGGGTTAGGTGGACCCGGGCGATTCTGCGATGGGAGACCTTGCTGTCCCGGAGGCCCTTGTTGAAGTCTTGGAGACCCACGCGGAGGGTTCGGTACAGGAGGTCCATTTGACGGTTGCTGCTGAGGTCGAGGTCTTCTCTCTGGCTCGAGCGGAGCGGAAAAGCCGATATCAAGTTTTGCGGGCGGTGACTGACCCCCTGGCTGGGGACCCGTCCCGAGGTACGGTGATGAGCTATTTGGTCTCGATGGTGGACGGATGGTCGGAATGCTTTGTCCTTGAGGTGGGGGAGGTCCTCCAGATGGCATGAGTCCTCCACGACCGTAACCAGACCCTTGGTAACCAGGCCCGGGAGGGTTAGAATAGGGTCGCTGTTGAGCAGCCACATTGGGAGGGGGAGGTCCGTATGGATCTGGTCTTGGAGCTCCCATGGTTGCGGCCGAGGTCGGTCGAAGGTTAGGATTTATGCCAAATGCGGACGCAGGTCGAAAATCGGGCCCTTGGTTTGCTGATGGCATGTTCGGCGGCCCAGTGGGGTAAGGTGCAGGCTTTGCTGAAGGTGGTCGCTGGCTGTTGAGCGACAACCGCGAAGGATCAGGCATTTCGAGCTGTTCGGACTCCATCTCTTCTGATAAGGTGGGCATCGGAGGAACCGG